TCAAAGCCAGCGTCGTGCTGGGCTCGACACACGGGGCACGGTGGGTGGTGGGGTCTACGGACGGAATTCTCCAATTCACAAAAGTGAATCCTGATTATCATTATTGTACCAAGGCCTTGTCATTGTTGTAGCAAGGCCTTGGCCCCCAAGCTTGCGTAGGGGGATCTTTGTCTTGGCTGCGCGTGAAACATGTCTCGTCTGTCCGATCTGCTGCTTGTTGCTGGAGTCGGCAGTGGACCAAGTGGAATGCGCCCGGACGTGCTGCTGCTGCATGCGGCCAGCTGCTGCAGCAGCTACATGCGGCGAGCTGCTGCATGCGGCGAGCTGCTGCTGCTGCTACATGCGGCGAGCTGCTGCAGCTGCTGATGCTGCAGCTGCTGCAGCTACTGCTGCTGCTGCAGCTGCTACTGCTGCTACATGCGGCGAGCTGACAGAGCGCACACTCAGAGCCAAGCACCCTGCGGTGCCTGACTCACAATCTGTCTTGAGGCTGCACCAGCAGGAGGAATCCGATGAGCTATGAAGCTCTTTTCCAGTAGGAGCGGCGGGTAAGAAAGCCACAACAGCAACAAACAATACAACACCGAGAGGAGTGCAAAGTATATGAAAGCAAAACAAGTCAGTAAATGTATTTGTTTTGTACGAGTCCACAAATGCAAACGTCCATCAGTGCAGCTCGTCGGGCTTGTGGCTGCACTGCCGTTGGGAGGGAGGAGCAAGACCAGGCAGCACGTGGGGGCCCAGGGAGGCTGCAGAGTCGTCCCTCGTGGAACTCAACCGACACGTGTTTCATTTTACCCGGTAAGGCCCACTGAGCTGTACAGCTCTTTTTCACAAGACACCTGGCTACCACAAATGATGATAGCTCAACGAAGTGGCAGATAGCATCTTGTGGGAATTTAGATCAGCCAAACACTCTGAACGCGTGACATTGTTTCTAAATGTGGACATGAAAACCGGAGGACCTGGGGAAAAATCCACGCGACTACGGAGAGAGAGATGCGCCAACTCCAAATATACAACAGGCGTCAGGGTCGGGATCGAAACCACGACCGACCTCAAATAAACCAGCCGAGGGAATTAACATCACGCCACCTTGGCACCATTTGCGAAAAAGATCTCATAGCTCAGTGGGGGTTGCCTGGTAAAATAAAATCGCGGTTGAGTGTCCCCCACTGCGTCTGTCTGCTGCCGCACAGAAGACCGCCGACGTCACATTTCGGTTACGAGAGCATCCGTGAAATAACACTTTCATCCGCAGCTTAAAATGCTGACAGCAGTTTTTGATATCCATAGCTGCTATTACTCAGTACAATCATCGTTTTACATGACTCTTCAAAACAGTGTTCGAGGCATGCAGAGGAGTTGAAAATAATACAGCGATTGGCAAAGATTCTGCATTCTTGTTATATGGTTCATATTTAATATGGTTTAAATAGAGTGGGTGGGTGGAATGAGTTGGGGTCAGAGTTGACCTGTAACAAAACACCCCCTTTAAGGCCAAGGGAGACTGGCGATAATAAATTCGACGTACAGTACAACTCAACAGTGGCCACGGGATTCCAGAATCCAACTCACACCCTCGGGGGAGCTCCACACGAACTCCACGACGAGTCGGACTGCTGCCACGGATCTCAACCCGTGGGCCGCACGGGAAGGTCACTCGACGTGCCCCCTTCACCCACTGGACGTGCCCCCTTCACCCACTCGGCGGCATCGGCCGCTTGGGACATGCGCCAGGCGGAGCCCTGCGTACCACTGGCTCACCACTCGGCAACCTGGACGTGAACGTATGAAGGTTACTGATCATAACCACCTGAAATGAGTGGAGTTATCAAGCATGTATGGTGGAGTTATCAAGTAGGTATGATGGAGTTATCAAGTATGTATGGTGGAGTTATCAAGTATGTATGGTGCAGTTATCAAGTATGTATGGTGGAGTTATCAAGTATGTATGGTGCAGTTATCAAGTATCTATGGTGGAGTTATCAAGTATGTATGGTGGAGTTATGAAGTAGGTATGGTGGAGTTGTCAAGTAGGTATGGTGGAGTTATCAAGTATCTATGGTGCAGTTATCAAGTATGTATGGTGGAGTTATCAAGTAGGTATGGTGCAGTTATCAAGTATGTATGGTGGAGTTATCAAGTAGGTATGGTGCAGTTATCAAGTAGGTATGGTGGGGTTATCAAGTATGTATGGTGGAGTTATCAAGTAGGTATGGTGCAGTTATCAAGTATGTATGGTGGAGTTATCAAGTAGGTATGGTGGAGTTATCAAGTATGTATGGTGGAGTTATCAAGTATCTATGGTGGAGTTATCAAGTATGTATGGTGGAGTTATCAAGTATGTATGGTGGAGTTATCAAGTATGTATGGTGCAGTTATCAAGTATCTATGGTGGAGTTATCAAGTATGTATGGTGGAGTTATGAAGTAGGTATGGTGGAGTTATCAAGTATGTATGGTGGAGTTATCAAGTATCTATGGTGGAGTTATCAAGTATGTATGGTGGAGTTATCAAGTATGTATGGTGGAGTTATCAAGTATGTATGGTGGAGTTATCAAGTATCTATGGTGGAGTTATCAAGTATGTATGGTGCAGTTATCAAGTATGTATGGTGCAGTTATCAAGTATCTATGGTGGAGTTATCAAGTATGTATGGTGCAGTTATCAAGTATGTATGGTGGAGTTATCAAGTATGTATGGTGGAGTTATCAAGTATCTATGGTGGAGTTATCAAGTATGTATGGTGGAGTTATTTCGCGCCGTACGTAGCCGACCATCATAATCGGAGGTGTGAAAAAAAATCGTAACTTGTAACGTTTTTCATCTTAGATGGGTGCCGATATCTGCTCTGGCCCATGGATTAAATGTGCATCACTGCAACCTGGGGTGGCTCAAGGTACAAGCAAGCTCTCTATCAGCACATGGGGCCATACATTCATGAGCACACGTGGATGCAAATTAACACAAAATACGAATTACATCACAAATCTCCATCTTGTCCACAGCTCGTGTCTGATCTCACGACACGTGTCTGCATCTCTGTTTTGTCTCTTTCTTTCTTCGCCCATCTCAATACTCATCTCTCTGCCCATATCCCCTTTGTCATCTCACGAGGAGTTTATAACTCAACATTTTCGGAGCTCAGTCCCGGAGAGTTCCGGATAAAATGAAGCCGGGCGCGAGCAACAGCAGCAGCAGCTGCTGCGTGCATGCTGCCAGCACACCACCACACGGTGCATGCTGCCAGCACACCACCACACGGTGCATGCTGCCAGCACACCACCACACGGTGCGTGCTGCCAGCACACCACCACACGGTGTCTGCTGCTGCTGCGTGCGTGCTGCCAGCACACCACCACACGGTGCATGCTGCCAGCACGCCACCACACGGTGCATGCTGCCAGCACGCCACCACACGGTGCATGCTGCCAGCACGCCACCACACGGTGCATGCTGCCAGCACGCCACCACACGGTGTCTGCTGCCAGCACGCCACCACACGGTGCGTGCTGCCAGCACGCCACCACACGGTGCGTGCTGCCAGCACGCCACCACACGGTGCGTGCTGCCAGCACGCCACCACACGGTGCATGCTGCCAGCACGCCACCACACGGTGCGTGCTGCCAGCACGCCACCACACGGTGCGTGCTGCCAGCACGCCACCACACGGTGCGTGCTGCCAGCACGCCACCACACGGTGCGTGCTGCCAGCACGCCACCACACGGTGCGTGCTGCCAGCACGCCACCACACGGTGCATGCTGCCAGCACACCACCACACGGTGTCTGCTGCTGCTGCGTGCGTGCTGCCAGCACGCCACCACACGGCGGCTGCTGCCGAGGCTGCTGTGACGTGCGGCTTGTTTTGATCGACACTCGAGACTAGAAAACACTCCGCCCTCTCACATTGACACACTCACACACATTGATATACTTACACAGATTGACACACTCACACAGATTAATATACTTACACACATTGACACACTCACACACATTGATATACTTACACAGATTGACACACTCACACAGATTAATATACTTACACACATTGACACACTCACACTCATTGATATACTTACACAGATTGACACACTCACACACATTGATATACTTACACACACATTCACACACTGACACATTTATACATACATACTGATACAGTTACACACACTTATACGCACACCCCTACACACACACCGCTACACACACACACTGACACACACACCCCTACACACACACCCCTACACACACACCCATTCACACACACACTGACACACACAGCCCTACTCACACACCCCTACACACACACACACTGACACACACACTGACACACACACCCCTACACACACTGCCACACACACACCCCTGCACACACACAGCCCTACACACACACAGCCCTACACACACACACCCCTACACACACACACTGACACACACACTGACACACACACAGCCCTACACACACACACACACAGCCCTACACACACACACTGACACACATACTGACACACACGCGCTGACACACACACTGACACACACGCGCTGACACACACACTGACACACACACTGACACACACACTGACACACACGCGCTGACACACACACTGACACACACACCCCTGCACACACACAGCCCTACACACACACACCCCTACACACACACACTGACACACACACTGACACACACACAGCCCTACACACACACAGCCCTACACACACACACTGACACACATACTGACACACACGCGCTGACACACACACTGACACACACACACCCCTGCACACACACAGCCCTACACACACACACTGACACACATACTGACACACACACTGACACACACACTGACACACACGCGCTGACACACACACTGACACACACACTGACACACGCGCTGACACACACACTGACACACACACTGACACACGCGCTGACACACACACTGACACACACACTGACACACACGCGCTGACACACACACTGACACACACGCGCGTCCCCTCGGGCTCACTTCCGCGTGCCTCTCCACTGCGCCACGCGAGACGAGGAGGAGGAGGAGGAAGAAGCTCCTGGCGGTCTACAGCGGGGTGGACTCCATCAGGGTGGACTACACAGACTCACAGACTCCATCAGGGTGGACTCCATCAGGGTGGACTCCAGCACGGCAGCAGTCTCGCCGTGAGGCTCTAGCGGTGTCGACTTGAGCTGCGACTGCGCAAGCTGCAGCCCACACGAGGCGCGTGCACAGCAGCAGCGTCAGCAGCAGCAGGAGCAGCAGCAGGAGCAGCAGCAGCAGTAGAAGCAGCAGCAGCAGTAGAGGCAGTAGAAGCAGCAGCAGTAGAAGCAGCAGCAGCAGCAGTAGAAGCAGCAGCAGCAGTAGAAGCAGCAGCAGCAGCAGTAGAAGCAGCAGCAGCAGTAGAAGCAGCAGCAGCAGCAGTAGAAGCAGCAGCAGCAGCAGTAGAAGCAGCAGCAGCGTCAGCAGCAGCAGTCATCATCATCGTCACCACCATCACCGCAGCAGCCTGTGTACACGCACAGCCCTGCAGGCAGCAGCAGCAGCAGCACAGGATGTCGGCTTCACGTAGCCGAGCTGTCACCGACTGCAGCCTACAGGCAGCTGCACCCTGGCATGGCGCACTGGGCTCGCATTGCTGACGACTCGGACTGTGTGTAGAGCAGCGTGTTCCACCGTCGCCTCGCAGTGTGGTCTGTAGCTCGCACAGCAGCCGACAAGCCCCCCCCCCCCCACACACAGCTGGGCTGCTCCAGCTGAGTGGAGCCAGCCGCGAGTCGTCGTCCACAGCCGCCTCGTCCTCCTCCTCGTCCTCCTCGTCCATTGCTGCTGCTGCTGCTGAACTTCCCTTGGTCAAGTGAGTCGCGCCCGAGGCGTCACACACACAGTCTCACACACACAGTCTCACACACTCACACACACAGTCTCACACACACACTCACACACAGTCTCACACACACACAGTCTCACACACACACTCACACACAGACTCCCACACACACAGTCTCACACACACTCACACACTCACACACACAGTCTCACACACACACTCACACACACACAGTCTCACACACACTCACACACTCGCACACAGACTCACACACACACACTCACACACAGACTCCCACACACACACACAGTCTCACACACACTCACACACTCACTCACACACTCACACGCTCACACACAGACTCACAGTCTCACACACACTCACACACACTCACACACAGACTCACACACAGTGACTCACACTCACACACAGACTCACAGTCTCACAGACTCACACACACACACTCACACACTCACCCACACAGTCTCACAGTCTCACAGACTCACACACACTCACTCACACTCACTCACACACAGACTCACAGACTCACAGTCTTACACACAGACTCACAGTCTCCCACACACTCAGACACACTCACACACAGACTCACAGTCTCACAGACTCACAGACACACAGACTCACACACACAGACACACACCGACTCACAGTCTCACACACACCGACTCACAGCCTCACACACACTCACACACAGACTCACAGTCTCACACACACTCACACATCTCACAGTCTCACAGACTCACAGACACACAGACTCACACACACAGACACACACCGACTCACAGTCTCACACACACTCACACACACTCACACACAGACTCACAGTCTCACACACTCACACACAGCTCACAGTCTCACACACACACACATTCTCACACACAGACTCACACACTCACACACAGACTCACACACAGACTCACAGTCTCACACAGACTCACACACACATTCACACACTCACACACACAGTCTCACACACACTCACACACACTCACACACACAGACTCACACACACTCACTCACACACAGACTCACAGACTCACACACAGACACACACTCACACACAGTATCACACACTCACACACACTCACACACAGACTCACAGCCTCACACACAGTCTCACAGTGTCACACACACACAGTGTCACACACTCACACACAGACTCACACACAGACACACACTCACACACAGACTCACAGTCTCACACACAGACTCACAGTGTCAAACACAGACTCACACACACACACACACTTAGATAGTCACACACAGTCTCACACACAGTCTCACACAGACTCACACACAGACTCACACACAGACTCGCACACAGAGACACACACAAACACACACAAACACACACACAGACACACACACAGACACACACACAGTCTCACACACAGAGACACACAAACACACACACAGACACACACATAGACACACACACAGACTCACACACAGTCTCACACACAGACTCACACACAGTTTCACACACAGAGACACACAGAGACACGCACAGAGACACACACAGACACACACACAGAGACACACACAACACAGTCGCAAACACACACCCATCATGCACAGGCTCACACGCGCAGTCACGCACACAGCACGGGGTTGTTTTGAAGTGTGCGGGTTAAGAGGAGATGATGATGATGATAATGATGATGATGAAGTCGGCGAGCTTCGTTCCTATATGGAAACTTCGTCGAGTGAATAACCGATCACATTAGTACGATGAGGATGCGTTGACAGCCTTTGTAACTCACCGTTTGACACGATAAACACTTCATAACTCACCATTCAATTTATATTGAAAATAATATTTTATTTTATACTGTACACTATTCAAATAAACCGACATTAAGAAACAAAGTTAACAAACGTTATTTTATTCTTACTTATAGTCTGGCAGATCGATACATTGATCGTTTATAAATGTCAGCGCATTTATTATTTAGCTTTCTGTGCAAAACAATGTTCTACAAAATACAAACGAATGTATATCGAATGTTCGTACGTGGAGCTACCGCTGTGACCCTGCCCCCTGCGTCAAGTGGCCGCCAGCCCCTCGTGCTGCTCCCCCTGCTGCTGCCCCCTCCTGCTGCCCCTCCTGCTGCCTCCCCTGCTGCCCCCCCTGCTGCTGTTTGTCTGCCGCTCCCCACATCAGGGTGGTGGTGGCCACGCTGGTTGGTGTGGGGGGGGGGGTCTACGGATGACTCGCGCCGCTTTACAAATGTAAACAATCACCGCCATCGGTCGACGTGCAACCCCGGGGGTCTCATATCGTTTGGAGCTGTCTGGGACTGTGCTCCGGAAAACATCCTCGAGAAATGAACTTCCGATGTGTGTGGCCGTGCCCGCCGTTGCCTGCGTGGGGAGGAGCGGTGGGGCAGCGGTCAGCGCTACGGAACCCGGTGACCAGATTTCGATTTCCGCTCACGGTCACCAACACCGGTGACGATTATCTGAACCGGTCATGGGGCCTCCCCTAGGTAGACTCAGCCTCAAACGAGTACCTGGCGCGGTGTGTAGTAAACATCGCCATTGGGGAGACAAAGGCGGCCGGGCGTGATGCTGGCCACCCACCCCTCGTGTGCCACCGTGCCGGCCTTCGTAGGGGCTACTCGCTAACAGCACTTGCCCCAACAGCCTGCCAAGGCTATACCGGGGTGGGTAATCTTTGTCTTTGTCCGCGCGCCTCCAGGGCCAGCAGCTCGCGGCCCGGCTGGGCGGATGACGTCGGCGAGCCACCGACCCCGGCCAGCGGGGAGGAGGAGGAGGCGGCCCGGCGCGGCCACAGCGAGCGGCCCCGTGAGTCGCCTGTGACGTCACCTGTGACGTCGCCTGTGACGTCGGCGATGCCGTCCGCGTGCAGCGACGCGCCCGCGGTCGCCAGCGCCGAGAAGCCGCACCACTACACGTGCGTTACCGCCACGCCACGCGTCTGTGTGTGTGTCTGTGTGTGTGTGTCTGTGTGTGTATGTGTATGTCTGTGTGTGTGTGTCTGTGTGTGTATGTGTGTCTGTGTGTGTCTGTGTGTCTGTCTGTATGTGTGTGTGTCTGTGTGTGTCTGTGTGTCTGTGTGTCTGTGTGTGTGTATGTCTGTGTGTGTCTGTGTGTATCTGTGTGTGTGTCTGTGTGTGTGTCTGTGTGTGTCTGTGTGTGTGTTTGTCTGTGTGTGTCTGTGTGTGTGTCTGTTTGTGTCTGTGTGCGTCTGTGTGTGTGTCTGTGTGTGTGTGTCTGTGTGTGTGTGTCTGTGTGTGTCTGTGTGTCTGTGTGTGTCTGTGTGTGTGTCTGTGTGTGTCTGTGTGTGTGTCTGTGTGTGTGTGTCTGTGTGTGTCTGTGTGTCTGTGTGTCTGTGTGTGTGTATGTCTGTGTGTGTCTGTGTGTATCTGTGTGTGTGTCTGTGTGTGTGTCTGTGTGTGTCTGTGTGTGTGTTTGTCTGTGTGTCTGTGTGTGTGTCTGTTTGTGTCTGTGTGCGTCTGTGTGTGTGTCTGTGTGTGTGTGTCTGTGTGTGTGTGTCTGTGTGTGTCTGTGTGTCTGTGTGTGTCTGTGTGTGTGTCTGTGTGTGTCTGTGTGTGTGTCTGTGTGTGTGTGTCTGTGTGTGTCTGTGTGCGTCTGTGTGTGTGTGTGTATGTCTGTGTGTGTGTCTGAGTGTGTGTGTGTCTGGGTGTGTCTGGGTGCTGCTCACCACGCTGTGTGTGTCTGTGTGTGTGTCTGTGTGTGTCTGTGTGTGTCTGTGTGCTGCTCACCACGCTGTGTGTGTCTGTGTGTGTGTCTGTGTGTGTGTCTGTGTGTGTCTGTGTGCTGCTCACCACGCTGTGTGTGTGCGCTTCTTGCCATGTTTCTGTCTTGACTGAGCCGCATACCCCCAGGCATGCTGTACTAATTTGGAGTTATTTACAAGTCAATGAGGTCGTAAACCAGTCTCCCACGCTCTGTTGCACAAGACAAGCTGCTATTTTATGTTTAAACCGAAATCTGAATTATTTTTAGACCTTTGCGATCTTTGTTGAACTCGTTTCGCACCGTACGTGGCCAACCGCGCTAATCGGAGGTGCGGAAATCCCGTAATGCGCCACGTATCGACGCCGCTTCTGCAATACGGACGACGTTTTCAGCGCGCTATTGGATTTGTCCGTCTGTCTGTAACGGCGGGCTCACGGTAAAGTTGTGCCGCTCGCCAGAGCGAGCAGACAGTTGCCCAATGAAACCTGGAGATGAGAGCCACGCAAAACGAGAAATCTTTCCAAACATGCAAACCAATTCTTACCCCGACAGCGACTGCGGTCGATTTAATGTGCTGCCCAGGACAAAACTTGTCAGGATCTATGCGCGTGGCGAGAACATTTTTATTTTTCGCAATTTTAATCCGTAAAAGGTGTCATGCTTCAATGTGCGATGTCGCGCCGCTGCGGCAGCAGCTGCCGCGTGCTCCGTGTGCGGCGCGTGGCCCCAGGCACAGTGGGGCCCCTACAGCTCTCGCACTCTCGTTTATCCCTCTTAATGGGGTAAGGGGGGGTACGGATTAAATCTCATCACGCACGATGCAGCACGCGTGTAAATCAGGCTCCACAAGGGCGCCGCGTCGCTGTGCTGTGCCCGCGTGGAATGCGGTTGAGGGCCTATCACACCAGCCGCCCGTCTTCATCTTAACTTTCTCGACGTAATCGACCCACTCGGGGTGGCAGTGCGGGTCCCAGGTGGGGTCCCACACGGGGTTGTTTTACTGCCTTGCCCTAAGCTTGCACTTAGTGTTTAAACATCGGCAGAACTTTATGCGCTTTCGCTCACACACTTGATTCGTGTTTATTTATTTGAAGCGACTTGCTCAACTTTCCTCCACGTTGGACTCTGTTGGAGTTGTAACTTTCTGACTACACACGATGAAGAGCTTCATAGCTCATCGGATTCTTCCTCCTGCTGCTGCTGCAGTCTAAATACCGATTGTGACTGTGACCGGGCCGTGCTCCTGCCACCCTCTCTCACCTCCACCCTGGTTGCTCGTTGGAGCCACCTCCAGTCTAGTTCCAGCTCCACCTCCAGCTCGAGCTCCAGCCCGGCTCATTAGCTCCGCACCGGTACTCCGCTCGACCAGGCCGCTGAGAGCGCCGTTTCAAGCTTCCTCGTGCTTCGTGTGTTTGTGGAAGCGCTCTGCGGAGCCCACGGTGGCGGTGTGGTTCCTTCCCTCGACTTCCGAACAACGCGGCTCACCCACTGCACGTGAATTTCGTGAAATGAAATATCAGTGGAAACTTACAGATATTAAGATTGGCAGTTTTTTTTTACATATTCACAAAAGGAAACGACAAAGCACACTCCGTCACAGTCATTTATTAGTACAGCTATGTTCACTCAAAACATGTAAATATTTACTGTAGTGTGGTAAATGGACGTTCATGATGGTGTCTTGCGACTGACTGTGCAATCTCTGAAGGGTTATTTAGACAACATGCCGGTCGACTTGGTCTCTGTTGGGCTCTCGTCTACTTAGTGTACTTAGACGGGACCATTCTGTGCTGGCACCACGTGACGCCTGTGCCTCTATTTCCCCAATCCAACTGCGAGGAAGTGTCTTGCGATGTTGCCCTGACAGCCGCTCCACTTCTCGTCAGTGTGAATCACAGTGCTTCGTCTCTCTGGACACGTGCTGTGGCTGCTATCAAGAGGGCAGGGCGGCAAATTCACCGTGGTAGCATCCTCTGTGCTCTCCTGTCGTCTCTCCCCGCTTTCGCCTTCCCGCGTCTGCAGCAAACCCCTCGCGGCCTTCGCCAGAAGCCTTCGCTGCATGGCCCTGCTGCTGTCTAAGCAAAAACTAACAGAAATGCAAAGGTGAAGCCAAGTAAAAAACAGCAATCATTGGCAGGCTCCGTGTGATCTTGTGAGCCTGCGGACTGGTTCCATTGATCCTGTGTGCCAGTGATCCTGTGGGCCTGTGAGTTGTGTGCAGGGTCGAATTAGGTTTGATGGAGGCCCAGGGCTGTTCGCAGTTTTGCTGTATATTCAGTTCCTTCCCTTCACCGTTTCACCGCCACCCGTAGCACGGTCGGCTACGTGCGGTGCGAACCAAGTTCCACCTACGCGCACACGCACGCACGCAGGTAACGCGGCTCTGCGTGCTGCGTGTAGGTACCTGCGCGACTTCCGCACGGAGCAGTGCGCGCTCTTCACGCAGCACAAGTGCACGCAGCACCGGCCCTACACCTGCTTCCACTGGCACTTCGCCAACCAGCGCAGGCGCCGGCCCCTGCGCCGCCGCGACGGCACCTTCAGCTACAGCCCCGACGAGTACTGCACCGAGTACGACGAGACGGCCGGGGCCTGCCCCAACGGGGACGGGTGAGCCAGTTGCGTGTGTACGTGTGCGTGTACGTGCGTGTGTGCGTGCGTGCGTGTGTACGTGCGTGTGTGCATGTGTACGTGTGTGTGTACGTGTGTATATGTGTACGAGCGTGTACGTGCGTGTACGTGCGTGTACGTGCGTATGTACGTGCGTGTACGTACGTGCGTGTGTGTGTGTTTATGTGCGTACGTGTGTACGTGGGTGCGTACGTGTGCAACTTATCTCGCACTGTTCGTAACCAACCGTGCCCACGGGAGGCGCCGGGGGATGGACGATGAAAGGAAGCACTAAGCACCGCTCAGCACGCAGTGGCCGGGTGGGAGTGCGAGTCGCCAGCTCGTGACTCCCGTGCTCGCCGCGTGACCGGGCTCAGATTTTGCCGATCGCGGTGATACTCGCCGGCCGTAAAGCGTCAGCGGCATCTCGTTACTCATTGCCGAGGGGCCTCGAGTGCCGCCAGGCCCCCGGCGGAGGCAGACGAGCCGCGTCCCGGCGCTCGTGAGCAGCGGCACGCTTGGACTTTGACTCTTCACGGGGAGCGTCCATAAGTCTTCTTTACCGAGTGACGTTCGCCATCTCACCATGGTGGCTCGGAGATGTTAACTACCTCGTCGTGGGCTCGATCCCGACCCCGACACCCGCTGTATATTTGGAGTTTGCGTGCCTCCCTGTCTCCTCGTGGCGGTCGCGTGGAATTTTCTCCGAGTCCTCCGGTTTTTCCCTCCACACTTAGAAACATCGTGTGTCTTGAGTATTTGGCTGCTATAAATTTCCACAAGATGCCATTAGCCACTTCGTCTTTGAGCTATCATTTGTGATAGCCAGGTGGCTTCTGAAAAATAAAACACATTTTAGTTTAGTTACATATCCTGGCCTTGCTCCTCCCTCCCAACGGCAGTGCAGCCCCTGGCCCGCCGAGCTGCACTGATGGACGTTTGCATATGTGGACTCGTACAAAACAAATACATTTAGTGACTTGTTTTGCTTTCATATACTTTGCACTCCTCTCGGTGTTGTATTGTTTGTTGCTGTTGTGACTTTCTTACCCGCCACTCCTACTGGCCATCTGTGAAAAGAGCTTCATCGCTCATCGGATTCCTCCTCCTCCTGCTGCTGCTGCAGTCTCAAGACAGATTGTGAGTCAGGCACCGCGGGGTCCTTGGCTCTGAGTGTGCGCTGTCAGCTCGCCGCATGCAGCTGCAGCAGCTGCAGAAGCAGCAGCAGCAGCGAAACAAAATGGTTTGAAGCGACGAGTCGCGCCCGCGATGCGCGACGGTCGGGTGAGCGCTAATACCGAGGCCCACGGCGCGTCATCAGAAGCGTCACCATCGCATCTGCGGCCGCTCTCCGAGCGTTCGAGGGCTCGGTTCGAGGGAGACGGCCGTCACTCTGTGGACACGTCATCATCCCGTCTCGATGCGCAAACTCCGTCAGCACTCGCGCCAGGTGGCGGTCGACGTTCGAAGTGGACTGCGCCCCTCCCCCCCCTCAACGGAACGGCGCGGCTCTCCCCGTGCCCCCCCCCCCACTCGACATCGGTGAATGGCAGCAAGAGCAGTTCACGCGAATGCCCGTCGCAAGAGGTCACACCGCTTGGCGCAACGCTCCTTCGCTGACTGTGCGTGATGAATGAAGAAAACAAAAACCTCTTTCCGTCAACGGTTTGTTCAGGGAGACCGTTTGGGTCTTTCCGCCGGACGAAGGCAGGCGCTGGGCTCTGCTACGAGGAAGTGGTTTCAGCTCGACTGCAGAACGCGGTGGGGAGGGTGGCGCTCTTTTCCCCTCGTCGTGGTGGTCGTGGTGGTGATAGAGAAACGCGAACTCGCTTACGAGGAACGAAACTTGCCCAGCCAGCTTCCTCGTCCTCCGAAGCGGTCTGGAAGTGAGAGAGTGGCACCGCCCGACTCCCCGCGCGGTACCTCGCCGGACCTTCGTTTTGGCCTTTGGGCCGTGATCGGCCCCGGAGACCGTCTGCCGATGTTAGCGCTGCGGGGATTACACTTATTGTGCGGATGCTTTAACACTCGTACACAGTTAGAGCACCTGATACACAAGAAAAACAAATATAAAAAATAAATAACCGTGCATGTTGATGTCGCGTGAGTTGACATCAGCCACACGTCGCCACGGAGCCATGCGACAGCCTCCTCCAGCACTTACAGGGCAACAACAACGGCAACGGCGGCGGCGGCCAGTCGGCCAGTCGGCCCGCCGTGATGGAGGCGATGTCTGAGCCATGGTCTCCTGCTCCCCCCCCCCCCCCATTCACGCAGCGGGGAGTTTGATGCTCCTTTGATGAAACATTGATTTACGTTTGTCCAGTATCTTCGATTCCGCAGTTGTTTAGGTCCTGATTTTTATTTGGTTCATTGGTGCACGCTATTTTTTAAATTTCTTTTTGCTTTTATCACTTTGGAGACCCGGTCGGCTCTTTGACACGAGACTCTCCCTGAACCTAACTTTGAACTACATTCCCAAGGCTGTATTGTACGTTGTTAAATGAATATCTTTGCTGATGAGATACTGTACACAAGATGCTCAGAAGGTTGAACAGTAAACATAATTACCCATAATGCTCCATGGCAACGCACGGCGTGCTCGTGTACGATCATGTTCGTGGCTCTTGCTAACAGCATCTGGCGACCCGGCAGGATAGTCTCACAAACCCGGCTGCTGATGTGGACCCGAAAGGGTGAAGCTGATCTCGGCTTTGCTTGCATCAACAAATGCGAGTGGATGCTGTTGATCTGGAGAGCCGGCGGGCTGACGAGGGCTCGACCGCCCTCCGCGTGGAGAGCGTTTGGCTGCTGCTTTACATTTCCTACACGATAAGCCACTACGTTGAGCTGTTATTTGTGATAGCCAGTCGATTCTGAAAAAATAGCTACACGGCTCAGTGGGCTTACCTCGTAAAAAAACAACATAGTCAAACAAAATAGTTGTGCAATCAAGGAAGGAGATTTGTGATAAACGATTCAAGTCACGCACGTCAGACTTACTATTTGAAAGTGCGTTTTTGTGAGGCATGGCACGAAATGAGGAAATGTAAAAAAACTAAAACTAAAGAAATAATAAAACTGTGTAAAGGCGTTGGAAACTCGTTGGTAGCTAAGGGTTCACACGACACATAATTCCTAATTTATCTCGCGTCTCACAAAAAAAATGTTCTGCCTCGATAGTTAGTCGCTCTCTGTTGCAACGAAGCAAGGTATCTTGATTGTGAGCGCGTTCCCCCTACTGAGTGGTCGCGAGTTTGGTGGCTCAGAGGGATCGTCACAGGGTCGCTCTCTCCTGGGCCCAGGGGAACCGAGGGGGAACCGAGTGGGAACCGAGTGGGAACCGAGCGGGAACCGAGGGGGAACCGCCCCCGAGACCTGGAGCCGCTATCGCAATGGGGTCACCTGAGTCGGTGTCGCGTACACGGACTCGGGGAAGCTTTTGGCTCCCTCCCAAAAAAGCTAAAGTGATTTGTGGCTAAAATTAACATTCGGGCGTCGGTGATGCCGTCGGTTCTGCCTTGCAGAGCCAGAAGTGGAAATTCCACATTGCTATGGCGGGGGTGAGACTATTCATAGGACGACCGCCGTTGAAGTCTCCGGAGGGCGGGAATCACGACTGGCTGAGTGAAACCCGCAACCAGGATTTGAACTTGCGGCGTTTTGTCTGTGATCTGTTTGGCCGACAGCTGCGCCACGCGGCCGATTCTCATCCTTTTCTTACGAGCGCCGCTGCCTCTGGCTCCGAGGGAGTGATTTGTGGCCGAGGGAGTGATTTGTGGCCGAGGGAGTGATTTGTGGCCACGTGCCCGCGGCCCTCGGCATGAATGTGCTGCCTCTTAAGTTTTAGGCAGAACCTGCAGAGCGCTGCGCTGGGTATTTCCTTAATTTGCCAAAAAGTGCCAACAGACTTTATTTTCAGCATTTCATAAAACCGGTATGAAGTTGCATTGTTCGTCTAAACATTCGGGGCACGATTTCCTTCACCGGTTCAACAGAACCAAAAGTTTGCCGCATCTCAGGACACGGCAAACCCTCTGCGACGATCGGCGAATGCACCGCCGCTCAGCCACGTCACCGCCACGATCCTCAGCTAGACGCCCCGTGGCTCCGCTTGGTTTGTGAGTTTTCCTCTCTGTTATAGACGCGACGGCCTCCTGTCGGGAGCGCCGGTCGCTGCGTTTCCACGTCGTTCACTCTCTTAGGACGCGATCGGGGGGGACCGGAGCGGGTCGCTGCCGCTGTGTCCAACGCAACACTTGAATTTCCAGTTTTGGCTGCCACTTTGAAAACATCCGAGGAATTCAGGCCTGCGGGATGTTCAAACTACGGAGAGCAGCGTGACACAAACGGAAAACAATCGTGGTACAAACTGTGGGTGCGAGTGCGTCCAACGTGCCCCGACACCTGGCCCCACAGGCATCCAGGGTTGGGGGGTGCTTTGAGGATAAGAACGTGGGGGTGCTGTGTTTTCTTCTCCGTGTCGTGTGGGTGTGAATGATTAAGAGTATCGAGTTTTCAGTGTGGAGACCGCCCCACTCCGGTGAGCCCACGAGTCCAACTCGCACGTTAGTGCATCCCATGTCGTATTCGCAGGGAAACTCCTCTTATCCCCGACTGACTTAACCACGGTCCATATTGACCGCAGCTCCAAGTTGATCCGTGACAACTGCGGGAGAATTGATCTTGCTGCTCGTGATTCCTTGAGGATAAGAGGAGTCGCTGGTTCTGGTCGAAGTGGACCTAAATTCATCCTGTTCTCCAGACCTGAACCTGCCTTCCCGAGCCTGCTGAAAGGGGGCGACCTTACTCGAGATGTTTTTCCGGTCGAGTGCCGAGCGAGTGACCCGGGTTCCCTTGCCGCCGCAGGTGCCCCCTGCTTCACCGCACGTCGGGCGACACGGAGCGCAAGTACCACCTGCGCTACTACAAGACCAACATGTGCGTGCACGCGTCGGACTCGCGCGGCCTCTGCACAAAGAACGGGCCCCACTGCGCCTTCGCTCACAGCACGGCCGACCTGAGGCCGCCCGTCTACGACATCCGGTGAGGGCCCGCGACCGCCACGAGCAGGCCGCCCGCCGTTGCCCGCTATGCGGCGGTGACGTCACCACGGCGCTTGTGCCGGGCCAGGCGCACTTTGAGGCCACGTGAAGTGCCGAAGGCCCGCCGGCAGGTCACGGGACAGAACCAGGCGCCATGGGGTTGACTGACTGATAACGGATTCCTCCTCCAGTCTAAATAAATATTCTGAATCTGTGGCGCCGCCGGCCCCCCCCCACCGCCCCCACTTGCAGGGAGCTGCAGGCACTGGAGGTGCTGGGGAGCGGCCTCGCCAGCCCCAGCGACTTCCCGCAGCAGATGACCGCGACGCAGAGCGCCATGGAGCGCGTGCTGGCTGAGGAGCCGCGCTGGCATGGTGAGCGGCAGGTTCCATTGCCGTCGTCGTCGCCGCCGTCCTCCCGTGCACACCTCCCGTGCGCTACGCCCCGAGGAGGCGCCCCGTGGCCAGGGGGCACCCACCACCGGTGGCGGCTGTTTCTGCGGCCGTGGTCAACGCGGCGCCGGCAGCCTGCGGGCGGGCGGTAGTCTGCCGCTAGAGGGCGACGTCGCGCTGCGGGTTTCTTGTTTTATAGTTCCATAAAGCGCCTGAGCAAGCTCCATGCGTTCTACAACAAAGTTTAAAGAGCGGTAACAACGCGAGAGGGTGATTAAATGGCAGGGGGCAGTGTGCAAGGGTCGAGGAGCGAGTGACCATAACAGAGGAGCACGTGGGGTTCACGAAAGGGCTACAGGGGAGGGACGGGACGGAGTTGGTCAACTGCGGACTGTGGCGTTTGCACGTCGTGCCCTGCTACGGACAACGTCGCGGGATCTCAACTCCACTTGGCGCGCACAGCGCGTGGTTGCGTGTGTGTGTGCGTGTATTTGCGTGTGTTTGTTTGCGCGTGTGTGTTTGTGCGTGTGTGTGTGTGTTAACGTGCGTGCGTTTGTGTCTTTGCGCGTGCGTACAGACACGAACTTCGTGCTGGGAGGGTACAAGACGGAGCCGTGCCGCCGCGCTCCGCGCCTCTGCCGCCAGGGCTACGCCTGCCCCTACTTCCACAACGAGCGCGACCGCAGACGCGGCCCCCGGCAGCACAAGTACCGGTGAGACGGGCCCCGCGGCGTTCCCCTCCCGGCACCGCGGCCCCCTCCTGTGCCGCGCGCTTGCCCTGACGGCCCGTTAAAGGCCGCGCGGGGGATCTTTGTCTGTGCGTGCGTGCAGGTCTACCCCGTGTCCACAGGTGAAGCACGGGGACGAGTGGGGGGAGCCGAGTCTGTGTGAGAGCAAGGACGCCTGCCTCTACTGCCACACGCGCACGGAGCAGCAGTTCCACCCCGAGGTCGCGCACGTGCACGCACACGCACGCGTACACACGTATATATGCACACACACACACACGCACGCACACACGCACGCACACACGCGTACACAGACACACACACACGTACACACACACGTACACACGCACGTACACAAGACGACGACGTAAAAACGCGCGCGCGCACCTACAAAGCACGCGTGTACACGTACGTACGCACACAAATAGGCATGCACACGCACGCAAGTGTTCATTTAGTGTTGAAAGATCATAAGAAATGAATGTACTTGTGCAATTTGTACTCATAGGCTAATTAATTAATTATTTTTTCGGGACTAGCTTACCTATTCTCTACTTTGCACTCCTATCGTTTTGTGAGTCGTTTGTTGTTGTTGTTGTAACTTTCTGACCCGCCGCCCCTACTGGAGGACATCTGCGATGAAGAGCTTCGTAGCTACAGCGCGTTAACCTCCGCTCTCCGCCCTCCGTGCGTGTGCGCAGATCTACAAGTCCACCAAGTGCAACGACATGCAGCAGATGGGGCTGTGCCCACGCGGTCCATTCTGCGCCTTCGCCCACGTTGAGAGTGAGTGTCCCCGTCGATCTTACAAAGGGAGGGAGCGACGTGGGTGGACGGTTGTGAGAGGGAGCCCGCCGATGAGACGGAGTGACGAGTCTGTATTGAGACTGGAGGAGGAGATGTCCGGCAGGGGCGAGTGCGCTGCTTGTAATCTGGAGGTGATTGTCGGCGCTCAAGGGGTGCCAAACCTCGACATGACACTGCCAGTTTGATGCTTCTGTAGCAGCATGGTTGGGCGTTGTCTATATTCCCATTCGTCCTTACCTGCGGTAGCGGACATGTGTCAACAGGGGGTGGTGGACAGGCTGCGTAGGATGAGCCGGGCCGTTGGGCCACTAGGGTCCCCAGACCCCAAGAGGGGGGCTGGGGGATATTCCAGGGTCCCCTAGAGAGTTCTAGAAGGGAGGCGTGGCAAGGCGCGGAGAGACCCTGGAACGGGTAGAAAAGCCGGACCCCTCAACGGGTCCGGCAGTCCTCGTCCACCCGAAGAGCTGAAGCGAAGAGTCGAGTGGGCAGACCCCGGACCCCTGGCTAGGGTCGGGTTCAGACATAGCCAGTGTAGGGTGAGCGCTGTAACCAGAGTCAGGGGCCCCGTTACCCCTCGGTCTCATGTCCCCTCCAGCGAACCGTCTCCCTCGTCTTGGTCCCACTACACTTGTGCCTGGAATATTGGCCTTGTCATTGGCACACTCGAGGACGATTGTGGCTGCAGCCAGCGGTGTAGTCCGTGCCGTGGCATCGTCTGCCTTGCTGCGTTGTCCGCGTTCAATTCCCTCTCAGGGCCAACATCGGTGACGATTCTCTGAATGAGTCTTGGACCTCCTCAAGGCCACCTCAGCCTTAAATGAGTAACTCGGTGCGGTGTGTAGTAAACATGGCCACTTGGGAGACAAAGGCGGCCGGGCGTGATGCTGGCCGACCACCCCATCGTGTGCCGTGCCGGCCTTCACAGGTGCTACTCGCTAACAGCACTTGCCCCGACAGTCTGTTAAGGCTACACGGGGGGGGATCTTTGTCTTTGTCTGGAACAGAGAGGCTGAGCGGAGGAGGGGAGGAGGACGCCTTCCCCGTGGGCTGGCCAGGAAAGTCGCCGCCCTGCGAGATGCCAGGCAGCCCCCCGCCCTGCGAGATGCCCACGCACGCAGGCAACGTGAGAGCCCCCCCCCACCCCCGTGACAGTATTTCTCGTCTCGCACAATATATATATATTTTTAAAATATCGAATCGTATTTGAAAGCGATTACATTTTGCGCACAATGACACGTCATTTACACTCGTTGCTGTAACGCGAGAGGCCAGCTCCAATATCTGTCGGCGGCCAACTCGGCCTCTCGTGACCCCCCTCGTTGGGAGTGCAAAGCGGTCGACTCTTCGGCGACACCGGTTCCCCACCATAGAAACGTGGAATTTCCATCGACGTACCGGAGGTGAACGCCGGCCGGCCGCTGCGTTTGCAGGTGACGGCGTTTGGGCGCTCGCGCTCGGCCGACTGGGGCAGCCCGCTGTGGCCTCGCGAGGCTGCACGCAGAGCCAGCTTGGGCTCCCCCAGGGCCTCCTCCGCGTGGCGCGCCGACGAGCGGGTACATCACGCAGGCCCGGCCACAACACCCACGCGGTGTCACCACAACACCCACGCAGGGTCCGATTTACAACGACACGTTGTTTCCAGGAATGCGCTGTAACATCACGTAATCGGGGACCCCCTGTGGTGTACAGCGAACTACGACGATGGTGGCGGTGGCGAGATCAGAGCATGACGAGGCGGTTAGCGCGCTGCGCTACGAACCTGGCGACCCGGATTCGATTCTCGCTCACGGCCAACACCACTTATGATTATCTGAATCTGTCCTGGGCCTCCACTAGGTCGACAAATGAGTACCTGGTGCGGTGTGTAAACGTCGCTACTGGGGAGACAAAGGCGGCCAGGCGTGGTGCTAGCCACCCACCCCCTTGTGTGCCGTGCCAGCCTTCATAGGTGCCGCTCGGTAGCAGCACTTGCCCCTACAGTCTGTTAGAGGCTAATTGGGGGATCTTTGTCTTTGTATTTTGCGTGTGGCTGCAGGCGTTGTTTGCGGAGGCCGGTGTGGTTGGACTCCACTCCCCGGGGCGTTCCTCTATCCCGCGGGTCACCCTCCCATCCTGCTACCAGGTCCCGTCCATGCCGTCCCTGCATGAGCTCTTGGGTAGGCCAATCACATCGTCCACGTCTTTGGTAGGCCAATCACGTCGTCCACGTCGTGCGGTGTCCAAGTGGAGTGTGGGAGGGGCCTCGTGTCGACCTCACGTGGGGGTCGGTGCAAAGTGAAGTTCCGAATGGAATTCAAAAGAACTCGCAAACAAACACTGGTTGTGAAAGATCCAACGCAGAAGATCCCTGGGATTAATCTATCACGAAGCTCGAGGTCCACCCTGAGCCGCAGCCACTGCACAAATCATCAGTAGGCCTTACCTGATAAAATAAACAATTATTTAGTTTTAGTTTACTAGCCGGCGCAGGGCCCAGCCCAGCGCCGGCCTAGCACCGAACCCCTCGCGTGATCATGACCCCGACCCGGACCCCGACCATGACCCTGTCGTGTGACCCCAAACCCGACCCTGCCACCACCAGGTTCAGCGCTGGGGTCTCTGGAGCTCGGTGATTATGGGGGGGGCGCGGCCGCGACGGTGGAGGAGGAGGAGGAGAAGGGGGAGACGGAGCGAGAGCTGCACGCGGCCCGCGAGGCCGGGGAGGGCGAGGGCATCGGCGGCTGGAGAGGTGAGCGGCGGCGCTGGTCGCGTGATCTGCACCGGTCCCGACCGAACGCGAAGACGTCCGATCCCAACGTTCAGCGTGTTGGACGCGTCGTCTGAAGCAGCGTTCGGCCAATCAGAATGCTCGGGCAGCACGAAGGGCTCACCCTATCCCTCACCCTCTTCATGCCCCCCACATGCAAGAGGAAATGCTCTGTGATCGTTTCACAAGACGCAATAATTTCATGGACCATGGAAAGGAAGGGAATTCCACAATCGTGAAGCCTGGCTGCCAAAAACTCCGTTTCCCATAGAACAACAAAGAGTTATCTTTGTGGAATCTGTTCAAATAAAAATAGTTTAATAATTAAATAGGGGAGACCCAGGACAGGTTCAGAATAATCGTCACCGGTGTGGGCGGCCGTGAGCGGGAATCGAACTTGGTTTCCGTAGCGAGGCGTGCTAACCGCTACCACGTCACGTGTCCCCCTCCCCGCCCCCTACGTGCGTGCAGGAGATAGCGCGAGCGTGGCCGGGTCACACTCCACGTCTCCCTCCCCTGTCACCGACTCTCCGCTCAGCCCCGCGTCCTCCCGCTCGCTCTCCCACTCCATCTCGTCCGCCGGCGCCTCCAGCCTCTCGGCGCACTCCGAGCCACCCGGCCTCCTCCTCGGCCACCGCAAGAACTCCGAGCCTGCGAGCGCCAACCACGCCAGGCCCCGCGCCAGGCCCACGGTGCGGGAACCCAACAACTTCCAAACACTTTTCCAAGCCGACTCGGAGTTGCAGATTCCCATCCCGTTGAAATCGTCGAGCTTCGGCCACCTGCTCCAAAGTGGGCCCAGCGTCGATTACGGCGGTCGATCGGAGCCGCGGTTCCACGGCACCGGCCCACCGCGCGAGGGTTCGGAGCCGGCGTTCCGCGACCCCCAGCGACCGGGGTCAGGGCTGCTCGATCGGTTGGAATTTTCGGAGCGGGAATTTCGGCCCATCGGCCAGTGCGAGGACGTCTTCCCGATGTTCGGCCCGCCGGACACGTCGTTCGACGCGTTTGGCCAGCCGGAGCTCCCGTGGTGCTCGTACTCGCCGCTCGATAGCTGCGGCACGGCCGGCGGGGAGGGGCCGTACTTCCCGGCTCACCACGGCGGAGACGGCGGATACCCCGGTGTTGGCATCGCCGACCACGGAAACTTTGGTGAGAGGAGACGCCGTGGCGAGAGAACGAAACCGTGTGATTAATATTACAATCGTGACCCCGAGTTCTACAGCTTCATAGAAACAATAAAAATTGGCAATTCATAACGATAATTTACATTTTTAAAGTGGCACGTTTCATTCGGTAGATCCCCACCAATGCGTCACTGCTTATGGAAAGCCAGGAGATAGATAGAACCAGCAGGGTACACGGCCGTGACTAGGCAGGGAAGTGAAGGCCAGTTTACAGAGGTGAGTTTTGTGGACAGACTTAAATGTAGTCAACCATTCTGATTATCTTAACAGTGAATCCTGGTCTCATCACCACTGACAAGTTGTCCCATTCGGCCGTCAATAGGTCCAGGTTGACGACACAGGTTATTGGACGCTCCCTCGTAAGTCGATCCAAGGTGGCGTTATATAAACGTCGCGAATAGTGAATCGTCGTAAATTGGACCGTTGTGAACCGGAGACCACCTGCACCGGCGCCCGTGAAGCGCAGCGCCTGGCTTGGCGCGATAGCCTCGTGTCGCGGGGATGGCGGGAACACCGAGCGTACCGGCGACGCTACGTACGGGCCGGCATCGACGGCAGCGCCATCGTCTCTCTCCTCTCCGCACGCCCCCCGTGCCCTCCCCCAGGGCTCAACGGGAGGCCCGAGGGACTGTGGGCCGGGCGGGACCGGGAGCCGCGCGGGGAGCTGAAGGTCGCGACGCTGGCGCATGCTCACAAGGAGCTGGAGAGCGCCAATCGCAAGATCGGATTCCTGCACGACGCGTGGCAGCAGACGCGAGAGGTGCTGAGATGTCCTTGGACAAAGGCGTCCGGGCGTGGTGCCGGCCACCCGCCCCCTCGTGTGCCGCCGTGCCGGCCTTCATAGGAGCCGCTCGCTACTAACGGCACTCGCCCCAACGGCCTGTTAATGTGTGGATGTAGAACTTCTTTTTAACGTATAAAGTCAGCCGTACTACACGGGGGGGGGGGGCATCGTTGCGTGCGCGTGTGTGTTTGCGTGCGTGTTTGCGTGCGTGCGTGCGTGTTTGCGTGCGTGTTTGCGTGCGTGTTTGCGTGCGTGTTTGCGTGCGTGTTTGCGTGCGGTAGTGTAGCGGTTAGCGCACTGCGCTATGAACCTGGCGACCCGGGTTCGATTCCCGCTCACGGCCAACACCCAGTGACGATTATCTGAACCGGTCCTGGGTCTCCCCTAGGTCGACTCAGCCTCAAATGAGTACCTGGTGCGGTGTGTAAACATCGCCACTGGGGAGACAAAGGCGGTCGGGCGTGGTGCTGGCCACCCACCCCCTCGTGTACCGTTCCGGCCTTCATAGGTGCTCACTAACAGTACTTGCCCCTACAGTCTGTTAAGGCTATATGGGGGATCTTTGTCTTTATTTTTGTCTTTGTTTGCGTGCCCCAGGTGTGCAAGTGGTGGCAAATGGAGGCGCAGCGCTCGGCCGAGGAGCTGCGCGGGGCGGAGCGGGCGTGCCACGCCGCGCGGCGCCGCTGCGACGAGCTGGAGCGCGAGACGGCGGCGCTGCGGGCGCGGGGGACGGCGCCCCCCCACCCCCCCGCCGCCGCCGCTCCGGGAGCCCGCCGAGCCGGACCGGGCGGCTCCGGCGGCGCCCCCGCGGCGGTCCCGGGGAGCCGGGCGCGTCCCGGGGACCCGAGCCGCGTGTCGCCGTCCCGACCGCGCGCCGCCCAGCGCCGGCTACGGGAGGAGCCGAGCGCCGTCGGGACGGTACGACGGCGACGGGGGGCGCGGGCGCTGAGCGGGCCGGGACCCGGCTCGGGTTTCGCTTGCCGCCCGCGGCTCCGCGTGGCGTCTGGGCCACGCTGAACCTTCCTCTCTCGATCGAGGGCAGGGGCCGGGTCAGGGTTACCATGAACTGAACGCTTCGCGGATCACTTCGGTGACCTCTACGAAAAGTGAATTGCAGTCGCCCTAATATATCACCAATAATGTTCATCCACCTCCTGGTTGATGCAATTTCTGCTTGATCCATCTGCTGGTTGATCCATCTGCTGGTTGATCCACCTGCTGGTTGATCCACCTCCTGGTTGATCCACCGCATTGGTTGATGCACATCTCCCTGCTGCCGCGTGTTTCCGGTCTCCCAGGCGCTGGAGTTGGCCACGAGCAGTGCGGCGCAGGAGGAGTGCGGCGCAGGGGGAGCGTGCCGGGGAGCCGAGGGGGCTGAGACGTTGGCCTCGGGCGAGCACCGCTCCCCGGCCCACTCCCCAGGCAGGGCGGCCGCCACCCCCAGCCAAACGTCTCCACAGCGCAACCCCAAGTAGCCCAGCCGGGACACACCACACACACATACATGCCAGCGTGACACACCAGCGTGACACACCACACACACACACATCTGTGACACCACACACACACACCTCTGTGACACACCACACACACCACACATACACAAACACAACTGTGACACACCACACACACACACCAGCGTGACACACCACAAATACACACGCACACCTGTGACACACCACACACACACCTCTATGACACACCACACACACACACCTCTGTGACACACCACACACACACACACCTCTGTGACACACCACACACACACACCTCTGTGACACACCACACACACCTCTGTGACACACCATCCTGACACACCAACAACACCAATAGCCATCATTCGCCACTAGGTGGCGGTGACATCACCATGGTGCACTCTGAGGCCACGTGAAATGTTGAAGGCTCGCTGACAGGAGGTCACGGGACAGACCCAGGTGCCATGGGTTGACTGACTGAGACGACTGGCTGATGCACCACCTGTGCCCCCTACTGTGCCAACTTGCTGTGCTTTAGCCGCCCGGTGCTCCGCTCGTTGTTGTGAGCGTTGCTCCTCCGCCCTCCGTTGTTGTTGGAGGGCGACTGCCTCCAACTGCCCATTAGCGTCCTTCACGAGGCCGATCTTGACACCGCTGGTACCGGTCATCGGCAAGTCCACTCAGCTCCACATCCTTCCGTATCGCATCAGTCCATCTTTCTAGCCTGTGCAGCGTCCGTTTAGCCCCCCCTCTATCCGGCCAAACAGAAACTGCTTGGGCATGCGGTGGCTGGGCATGTGGTGGCTGGGCATGCGGCTGTTGGGCATGCGGCGGCTGGGCATGCGGCGGCTGGGCATGTGGCGGCTGGGCATGCGGTGGCTGGGCATGCGGTGGCTGGGCATGCGGTGACTGGGCATGCGGTGGCTGGGCATGCGGTGGCTGGGCATGCGGTGACTGGGCATGCGGTGGCTGGGCATGCGGTGGCTGGGCATGCGGTGGCTGGGCATGCGGTGACTGGGCATGCGGTGGCTGGGCATGCGGTGGCTGGGCATGCGGTGACTGGGCATGCGGTGGCTGGGCATGCGGTGACTGGGCATGCGGTGGCTGGGCATGCGGTGACTGGGCATGCGGTGGCTGGGCATGCGGTGGCTGGGCATGCGGTGACTGGGCATGCGGTGGCTGGGCATGCGGTGGCTGGGCATGCGGTGACTGGGCATGCGGTGGCTGGGCATGCGGCGGCTGGGCATGCGGCGGCTGGGGGTGGGCATGCGGCGGCTGGGGGTGGGCATGTGGCGGCTGGGCATGCGGTGGCTGGGGCTGGGCATGCGGCGGCTGGGCATGCGGCGGCTGGGCATGCGACGGCTGGGGCTGGGCATGCGGCGGCTGGGCATGCGGCGGCTGGGCATGCGACGGCTGGGGCTGGGCATGCGGCGGCTGGGCATGCGGCGGCTGGGCATGCGGTGGCTGGGGCTGGGCATGCGGTGGCTGGGCATGCGGTGACTGGGCATGCGGTGGCTGGGGCTGGGCATGCAGTGGCTGGGCATGCGGTGACTGGGCATGTGCTCCGCGAGACCGACGTGCGACTCCGGCGCTGTTGGCCTGTGGACGGCGACGCTCGCCGGTTGGGAGCGTGAGACTCGCGCCTGGGGGAACGTCGCTTCCCTCCGTGACGTTTGTCAAGCGTCCCCTCGGTAGAAACTTACACGTAGTACTTTAATTGTTACCATTAAATATTATTATTCTGCTTTATCGAATTACGTTATTATAAATATATATAATTCTGCTTTTACAAATTACGCGATGTGAAACTGATGACTGTAAGGTTCACTGTGCCGAGCTGTATTTTTTCAATCCGCACCCCCCATGAGTGCGGCTGGCTACGTACGGTGCACAAGAAGTGCAACCGTACATCGATCGAGCCGTCATGGTTTTTGTAAGTCACTGGATGATCCACATACCACACGTGGCAGCACGCTCTGTCGCTCCAGCAAACTGGCTCGTGAGCGTTCCTCAGCTTCGTGTTTGACAGCCAATAGCCAGACCGCAATAGTATACACGTAACTTTGTTTTAGCTTAAGCTGGGAAATGGAATTCAGTTTTTACGTGTGCGAAAATATGTCCACGTACCTGTGTGTGTGTGTTCGTTTGGGTGGGGAGCGATGGCTACGAACCCTACGGCCTGAGTTCGATTCCTGCTCGCAGCCACTAACCCCAGCGATGATTATCTGAACCGGTTCTCGGCCTCCCCTAGGTCGACTCAGCCTCAAACGAGTACCTGGTGCGGTGTGTAAACATCGCCACTAGGGAGACAAAGACGGACCGGGCGTGGTGCTGGCCACCTACCCACCCCCCTCGTGTGGCACTGCGCCGGCCTTCACAGGTGCTGCTCACTAGCATCACTTGCCCAAACAGTCTGTTAAGGCTATACGGGGGATCTTTGTTCTTTGTTGTGTGCAAATACTGGTGTGTGTGTGTGTGTGTATACTGGCGTACGTAGTGGGGAACAGCCACAAACTCTGCAATCCGAGTTCAATTCCCGGCCGCCGCTAACATCGGTGGGCGGTTAACGGAACTGGTCCTGGGCCTCCCCTAGCTTCACTCAGCCAAAATGAGTATGGCGGGTAAGGTATGAAAACAAAACCACTTAGGAAGACAAAGACGGTCTGGCGTGGTGCTGGCAACACCAGCCCCCTGTTTTACCATCCTGGCCTTCATCGGTGCTCGCGGACAGCGTTTTCCCCAACATGCTGTGTCGGCTGTACGGGGATGGTCTTTGTGCGTTTACTGGTTTCTTTGTGCGCCTGTGCTCGAGTTTGTGCCGTCAGGTCTAGCACGGTGCATCCCCACACCGGCGGTTATGTGAGCCGTGGCAGACACGGCGACGCGGCGTTTTCTTCTTAACTGTGAGCAACATGGGCATCCAACCCTAGCACCGCCCGCCCTCTGTTAGCATAGAAACTGGGTAGCTTTACAAATACTCTACGGGGTAGCTTTGCTAATACTATACTGGAGACCATCATCCTGAGTGTTTTTTTACACAGGTGGTGTGATCAGGGTTTGCTATGTCGAGCCAGACAACGCCGTTGTTTTGTTTCATATTACACTGTGCTTTCAACACTGTAGTGCGGTCGAGGGTTTAGGAGCTTCTAAGAGAGCGGGCGAGATGGGTGAGGAGAGGAGTTAGCGGAGACGTCGCCACAGCCAGGCCTCAGGTCTTGGTCCCTGCGCGCCCATGCGCCAGCTTCCTCGGCGCGACAGCTCAGGCGGTCTGCATGACGCGCACGCAGAGACCGTGAACACGGTCGGCACTGCCCGTAGGTACAAAGGTGCAAGGATTCATGGGGCGCTACGGTGGCTAGGAGATGTTTACCACCTCGCCTGCTACACAGGAGGTCATGGGTTCGATCCCGACCCTGACGCCTGCTGTGTATTTGGAGTTTGCGTCTCTCTCCCCGTGGTCGCGTGGATTTTTCTCCGGGTCCAACGGGTTTTCCCTCCACATTTAGAATCAAGGTCACGCGTTTCGAGTATTTGGCGGCTATAAATTTCCACGTGATAAGCTACTTTGTTGAGCTATCACTTGTGATAGCCAGGTCACTTCTGAAAAAGAGCTAAATAGCTCAGTGGGCCTTACCAGGTAAAATACAAAATTGTTAAATAGTTAGTTTATAAATGCAGTCTAAATCGTGACTGCCACGTTGGGCGCGGAACGCAGCGGCTCCTCGCGGATCTTCAGGGTGAAGATTTAAATTTCCTTTGGGATTCCGATCGCTGACCAGAGCATTCCAGTTGTGTGGATCATGTTTCCCGAGATGTTGCTTCCATTTTTTTACCTTTTTATAAAGTAAGTTCAGACAACTGCTGCACAGGCGGTGTTCGGTTTACGACGGTCCAATTCACGACGATGGGGTTCCTAGGAACACGTCGTGACGTCGTAAAAGCGGGGGCCGACTGTAATCTGGTACCTGCAGCTCAACTACTCCCATGTGGGGGGCGTGGAGGGCGTGCATACCACACATGGGGGATGGGGGCTCTGGCGGTGAATCGCACCCCGCTGCTCAACGCTCACCCAACGTCCGCTACAAGCCGCGCGCTCTCTCTAGAGAGTCACGCGAACTTCTCGCCTGGACATTTGTTTTTAAGTAACGTCCGCTCGACGGAGATCTGAACACGTGAGCTGTCGCTGATGGCATCTATTGTTACGCGCTCTGACCCAAAAACGTTTATTATGAATAATATTGGTCGCGAAAGCCTACGTGTTAAACTGCTGGCATCGCCTCTTCTCCTAAAGAATGTTGTTTTAGGCAATATTGAATCAAATACGTAGTTGTTCAAATATGTCACGTTTTGGTATTTGTTAGTATTTGTAGGATTATTGACATTGATCAAAATCTGGCGATGCTGTGCAGCAGCGGTTAGATTTTGTGATTATAAATCGCTGTCGGCGGTCCGCCGGGCCCAGAGAAAATCTGCACCAAGCTCTGTGATTCTCAGAAGCAAGTTCTGTCTGGCGGTTTTTGAAACCGAGATATAATGTGAATGTCAGTCTCTCTGAGTCTCTCGACCCAGAGTCCCTTTCTACCCACATCTCTAGACCCCGTGTCTCTATGCTCCACAAATACAGGCCATTTGATCGACTGTGGGTTCCACAGAGCCAGGAGCTCGAATCGTTGAGAGACTGACTCCACCTCCAAACTATTTTTAAACTAGTTTCGATATAAATGCACCGTTTGTATCAATGAGTGAGTGATTCCCTGATTTTGAACAAAGCCATAACTGTTGCTGACGGTTACTAGGACGGCCATATTTATCTTCAGAAATGCTCGATTTTGTATTGTTTTAAAGATTGCAGTATGCATAGGTTTAATTAGTTTATCGTATTCGTGTTGGTTTTTTTTAGCTACGGGAATACATTATGAGGGTGTTTTTATTATTATTAAGAGACTGTTATTAATATATATATGTCGCGTTATTAAAGTCGTTGCGGGGTGGCCGCGGGGCGCTGCACGGACCAGTCAAGCGGCGTCCCACTCCCCGGGACCCGAGCGGCGCCGCCGCCGTCGGCCCACGGAGATCACCTCTCCCAGACCACCACGCAGACAAACCGGCGGCGTCTCTTGCGTCAAGTAAAATCCTCTCCGCGACGGTTCCTCGGAGGAGTTCCGCACGGCCTCGTGGGAGCGCCGCGGGCGCCCGGACCGCAGGTTGGGGACGGCGGCTCTCCGGGCTCTTCGGAGACGGCGGCGCCATCGCACAGCCGTGCGCTGGAAGAGCGGCGGTCTGGCGGTCGCCCTTCGCTCCCCTCGGGGGGCGTGAAGGGCGAGCGACGTCGATTGCGGCTGCGATGCGGCGATGCGCCGCGTGGATCGCGGCGACGGTTACGCATGGCCGGAGCTGGCCGTGATTCGGAACGCGAACGTTCGTGCGGTTCGACTCCTGGCGACGCTCACGTTGAGAGGCTGATTTTGAGTGACCGGGAGGCGAGAACGCATTTGTTCTCGTTGGGCAGGTGTGGGAATCGTTGAACAATCTGTGACAACCAGAACATCTTGAGCAGCGTGTGCACACGTGGTGAGATGTTAACTCCCTTGCCTGGTATACAGGAGGTCGTGGATTCGATCTCGACCCTGACGCCTGCTATACATTTGAAGTTTGCGTGTCTCTCTCTCCCCGTGGTCACGTGGATATTTCTCCTGGTCCTCTGGTTTTTCCGTCCATAGTCAGAAGCGGCATCACGCATTTAGAGTATTTGGCTGCTGCTGCTATAAATGTCCACGTGATGATGAGCCACATCGTTGAGCTCTCGTTCGTGATAGCCAGGTCGCTTCTGCAAAAAGAGCCATACAGTGGGTGCCTTACCCGGTAAATGAAAAATAGATCGTGGTTTTTAGTTCAGAGGGGCCATAAGGAAGTGGGTTCCACGTTGGCCGTGACGTGTCACCCAGCCTCTGCCGCGTGAAGGCCGTGCATCTCTCCATCTCGGCGCGGCTGCTTCTCGGCTCTCTCCCCGTTATTAGCTGGGGCCGCCACCCTCGCTCACGTGAGGTGCTCCACCTCACGTGAGGTGGAGCTCCACCCCACGTGAGGTGGAGCTCCACCCCACGTGAGACGCTCCACCCCACGTGAGACGCTCCACCTCACGTGAGGTGGAGCTCCACCCCACGTGAGGTGGAGCTCCACCCCACGTGAGACGCTCCACATCACGTGATGTGGAGCTCCACCCCACGTGATGTGGAGCGTCTCACGTGAGGTGGAGCTCCACCCCACGTGAGACGCTCCACATCACGTTCGACATCGAGCGGCAGCGTCCAGAGGGAAGAGAATTGGAATCGCGAATGTGGCGGCCGTGCCCCAACCGCGGTGCGGTGTTTACTGCGCGCTGACGACGACGACGACCGCAGAATTACTCAAAGCCAACGGTTTTTCCTATATTTTAAAGACGCGCTCCTATTTAGAATTTCTAACACGTTAAAGCACTTTTAGAATGTTTCTTTTTCTAAATATATATTTAGGTTATGTAATTTAGAATGGTTTTTATTTTTATGTAATTTGTGGACCTCTTGAATTGCGGTGGTTGTTAGTATTAATATATTTTGATGTTCGGCCAGTGACTGACTCTCAGTCGGATGTTGGTCGCGTAGTACGCTGGGTGCAAAGGTCTAGGGGCACTCTGTGTCCGTACGTGGTTATTCAAATATACTGCACTTTCAATAAACCAAAGACAATACTTAAATCACACACTTAGTTCGTTGTAAATTTCTAGTAACCTACTTTAATTATATTCGAAATTGTTTAAAAAATATATATAACTTTTAAGCTTTGAAAATGCAGAGGTGAAATTAAATAGCACGCCGCGGAATTAATATTGGGGTCTGTATTATTTATGTATCGCATCCAGAGGTGTCGGAGATTCCTACTTAGATATATTTAAAATGATGCGGTGTATAGTGACGACCGACGTTGAGGCTGGGCTGCAGTATTTCTCTGTCGCGGTCGTCACAGCTCGAGGGAGCGGTGGCCACCCCACGCCTCCCACCCCACGCTCGCCACCCCACGCCTGCCACCCCACGCCTGCCACCCCACGCCTGCCACCCCACGCCTGCCACCCCACGCCTGCCACCCCACGCCTGCCACCCCACGCCTGCCACCCCACGCCTGCCACCCCACGCCTGCCACCCCACACTCGCCACCGAGCCGGCTGTGGTGGCCACGGCCCCGTACGCGACGGTGCCACGGGGCGCCGACGCCACGTGTGCGCGTGTGTGTGGCCACGGAGAGAAAGAAACGGGAAATTAAAAATTCGTCTGTAACAATGATTGTGATTAAACAATAAAAATGGAATTCAGGCAGAGGGAGACCGCCGCGTGCGCGGATCCTGAGGTTGTCCCAAAGATCGTGGCACCAGAAGGGGCGACGCGGTGGCTAGGAGATGTTCACTCCCTCGCCCGCTATACGGGAGGTCGTTCGGTTCGATCCAGACTCTAACACCTCCTGTATATCTTGAGTTTGCGTGTCTCTCTCTCCCCGTGGTCATGTGGATTTTCTCCGGGTCCTCCGGGTTTTCCCTACACAATTGGAATCAACATCATGCGTTTAGAGTATTTGGCTGTTATACATTTCCACACGACAAGCCACTTCGTTGAACTATCATCTGTGATAGCCAGGTCGCTGCTGAAAACGAGCCATACAGCTCAGTGGGCCTTACCTGGTAAAACGTAAAATAGTAAATAGTGGGAAGAAATTAACACGATGGTGAGCCTGGTTAAACCAACCCTCCCTAGAATGCGTGGGACAATCAAACGCCGTAATTATTAAACTATTAACCAGCTATATTGGTCTACATTCCAAAGGAAGATACTAAACACAGATGTATTAAATTGTATATTTGGGGGAGAGTATAACAGTATCCCTCGTGAGATGTGTTGTGGCGATGGCGTGCGTTGGTCTGCATCCAGCAGTGGATATATCCTGGCTGATGATGGTGATCAGGTATTCTGTTGCAAAATCGACATGCCAAAGATGATGGAAACAAATTTTAACCAGTGACCAAACGTATGTTATTACAGAGTTCGCAGTCCAAAGTCCTATGCAATCAATTATTAAAACGCCAATATCATGGGGGAATTAGATGTATTGGGCATAGTTTTGATTTGATCATATTGGCTTCATATCCAGACCAGCCAGACTTTGGTAGAGCATCCAAAAGGGTAGGGATATACATCTGTTACAATTAGGAATATTTACAGTGGCATGTACTTTGTATTATTAAAGGGCGCCACGGTGGGTAGGAGATGTTAACTTCATCGCCTGGTATACAGGAGGTCGTGGGTTCGATCCCAACCCAGACGCCTGCTGCTGTATATTTGGAGTTTGCATCTTCTCCCCGTGGTCGCGTGGATTTTTCTCCGGGTCCTTTAGTTTTCCCTCGACATTTAGAATCGTGAGTATTTGGCTGCTATCAATTTACACACAATCAGCCACTTGAGCTATCATTTGTGGCCAGGTCGCTTCTGACAAAGTGCCACATGAGCTGAAGTAAACGTAAATCATTGTTGAGGAGTAGAATGTTGGGAGCGCCACGGCAGTGAGAAGTCGGAGCCTCGCTCAGTCGCGAGTCTGCGGCGAGGCGCTGGAGCAGCAGAGGGCGCACACGTGACACCCGGAGCCCGCGTTGCCAACTGAGACGACGTGACCCCGGGACTCCGTGGGCGACAGCGGCAGCAGTGGTGGTGGTGCCAACGCGGCGATGTTCACCGCAGACACCAAGTCGCGCAGATCCTAGGAGCGCTCCCTGCCTCTCGTCACTTGAGCGTGTTCAGTAACTTAGCAAATCATCGCGTGACAATAATTGACCATTTAAGTCACTTTGAGGACACGTGGAGACTTCCCGCTTTCAGGAGTTGGCAACTCACGTGGACGAGACGCCAGCTCGGCGCCCGGTTAGAGTCGGGGGTAAACGTTTTGACACTTTTATTTTTAAACTAATACTCACCACAATAAATATATACCATTCATTTAGCATTTTAAGTTTGTTTTTAACCATTAAAGCCCGGTGGAATATTCACATTGCTGTTGTTGTTGTTGTAACTTGCTGGCCCGCCCCCCTTACCGGACATCTGTGAAAAGAGCTTCATAGCTCATCGGATTCCTCCTGCTGCTGCTGCTGCCGCAGTCTCAATGCAGTTGCTGGTTGTGACGTTGCGCATGAGCTGAACACGGATCTCTCAGTCTGCTGCTCGCCACGACGCGAGGGCTTCAGCAGAGGCGGAGGTTCCGTGTCGTCTTGATGCGACTCCTCTGTGGAATGAGCGCAGACCACAGCAGCAATAGTCCCCAAGGCGAATATCAGAGTAACAGCAATGTGTCATCGCTGTGCTACAAGTACAATGGCCACTTCTCGACACGTTTCAAGCAAGCTGTGTGGACTTTCTTTGAACTGTTTCCGTTTAATTAATCTCGCTGTCTGCAGACTTGTGGCACACACACCACGTGACACGCGCGTGCACACAACATGCCACGCGTCCACGTTTAACAAGAGCAATGTGAACCCTCCATGCAAGTTGCTGTGATGACTTCCTTGATTCTCACGTGGCCTTTATATTTTTAGGAAGATAATTATATTTAATAATACATTTTAATAAGAAAGTATTTTTTTTTACTATGAAATGTTTAATCGCTATGAAAGAGTCTGCCGTTTTAATCGTTGGTACAATCTGTTTGAGTTCGTTGTTGTGGTTGTATCACACTCTGTACTAGACGGTAGAATGTATTACGAATAAATTGGGTATGGATGAGGAGTGTCGAGTGTGCGTGTGTCTCATTCTCTGACAATCGTTCACTGCTGTTGAACATCTTAACGCTGCCTCTATGATTCTGGTCATTGTTATTATTGCCGGAGAGGGTAAAGGCGTCTTGCTTTTAAAACATCGTCTTGATATCGGCAAAAGAGAGTCCCAGAGAGAACGAGAAAGAAGACAACATCGCTCAGCTGCTCCAGGCAAACCTGCACAGGAACCCCATCGCCACATCCATCGACTGAAGTGCAGGGTACTTTGAACGTATCTTGTTGTTAGGTCAAGGCGCTCTATAGAATAGACACGGAGTATATCCGCAGTAACAGAAACAGTGCTTCAGATGGGGAGGGCAGTGGAGTGAGTGGGTGACTGTGACAGAGGGCACGTGGGGGTCACGGAAGGGCTACACGGGAGGGGCGGGAGAGGAAGGGAACAAGCGATAGAGAAGAGGCGAGGAGGCCTTGAGAGAGGAGTGGAAGGAGGTTCAGGAGGGTGAGCCGCTTCATGTGCTGGGGCAGTGCTGAGTCTATGGGCAGTGCTGAGATGTTGAGATGAGAGCGGAGTGATGTTTTAGTGCTGAGATGTTGAGATGAGAGCGGGGTGATGTTTTAGTGCTGAGATGTTGAGATAGGAGCGGAGTGATGTTTTAGTGCTGAGATATTGAGATAGGAGCGGAGTGATGTTTTAGTGCTGAGATGTTGAGATAGGAGCGGAGTGATGCTTTAGTGCTGAGATGTTGAGATAGGAGCGGAGTGATGTTTTGGTGCTGAGATGTTGAGATGGGAGTGGAGTGATGTTTTAGTGCTGATATGTTGAGATGAGAGCGGAGTGATGTTTTGGTGCTGAGATGTTGAGATGGGAGTGGAGTGATGTTTTGGTGCTGAGATGTTGAGATAGGAGCGGAGTGATGCTTTAGTGCTGAGATGTTGAGATGAGAGCGGAGTGATGTTTTAGTGCTGATATGTTGAGATGAGAGCGGAGTGATGTTTTGGTGCTGAGATGTTGAGATGGGAGTGGAGTGATGTTTTAATGCTGAGATGTTGAGATGAGAGCGGAGTGATGTTTTAGTGCTGAGATGTTGAGATGAGAGCGGAGTGATGTTTTAGTGCTGAGATGTTGAGATGGGAGCCGAGTGATGTTTTAGTCTGTGTGTGTAAGTGTGTGTGTGCCTCAAATATTGGAAGAGGTCACCCCCTGTGAGTGGCTGGGTGAGGTGCCATCTGTTGAGGAAGTACTGAAGGCGATCCGGAGTCTGAGACTGGGAAAGGCACCGGGCAGAGATGATCTCCCAAGCGAAATGCAGAGGGAGGGTGGCGTTTGTGCACAGACTGCCCTATATGACATCATAACAAGAGTCTGGACCGCTGGACGGGTTCCGCAGGATTGGACGGATGCCCTGGTGGTCCCCCTCTTTAAGAAGGGGGACCGCCACAGACTGTAACAACTCCAGGGGCATCTCACTCCTCAGTGTGCCGGGAAAGGTCCTGGCAAGGATTATTCAACATCGCCTTGCTAGGCACGCTGAGGAGAGGCTTGCGGAGCCCCAATGCGGTTTCAGGAAAGGGCGGTCCTGCACAGATGCCATATTTTCTGTCCGTCTGCTACAGCAGAGGTGTAGGGAATTCCAACAAGACCTACATCTCTGCTTTATTGACCTGGTCAAGGCCTATGATACCATCAGTAGGCCTGGGCTCTGGGTTGTTCTTCGTGCTTTCGGAGTCCCTGACCCTCTGCTCACGATCATTAAGGACCTTCATGATGGTGAGCGGGCCCGGGTAAAACTACGTGGCCGGGAGTCAGAGCCTTTCCCTGTACACCTTGGGGTGCGACAGGGATGTCCTCTGGCTCCCACATTATTTAACATCTATTTTGACCGCGTAGTTCGTGAAGCCTTCAATAGCTGTACCGGGGGAATTTCCATTTGGTACAGATACAATGGGAGGCTGATCGACGCCCGGGTGCGATCAAGGGATGGCTCCCTATTGGTCAACCACGTTATGTATGCCGATGATTTGGTAATAGCTGCTCATTCAGAAGAGGAGTTGGAGACGCTGCTGCTGAGACTGGAGCGTGCCACTAAGAGTTGGGGCCTTACCATCAGCCCCACCAAAACTAAGCACCTGCCTGGGTATTTTGTACCATCGGACACTCCACCCCCACAACTCCCAATCGGTGATGGGGCAGTGGTGGAGTTTCCCATACCTGGGCAGTGTGCTTATGACCGGCTCCAGTTTAACAGCAGAGGTCTCACTCCGAATCAGTCGAGCGGCAATATATTTTCATCGGTTGCGTAACGCTGTGTGGAAGCTACCTGGTCTGTCGCTCCGCACGAAGCTTCAGGTCTTCTCGCCCAGTCATTCCCTCCCTTCTCTACGCTTGCGAAACGTAGACCCCCCTAATAGAGCATCTTCGCCGGTTGGAAACACTTAGGCTGGCTTGCCTACGATCCGTCCTGGGTTTAACCAGGCTGGATTGTGTGAGGAGCTCACAAATCCTTGAAACATCTGGGCAAAGTCCCATCGGTGAGCTCCTCCGGCAGGCAAGGCTGCGTTGGCTGGGTCATGTAGCCCGCATGCCCAGCCACCGCATGCCTAAACAGCTTTTGTTCGGCCGGATCGAGGGGGCTAAACGGGCGCGGCACGGGCTAGAGAAGAGATGGAGTGATGTGGTACAGGAGGACGTGGAGCTGAGTGGACTTGCCGATGACTGGTACCAGCGGTGTCAAGATCGGCCTCGTGAAGGACGCTAATGGGCAGTTGGAGGCAGTCGCCCTCCAACAACAACGGAGGGCGGAGGAGCGACGCTCACAACAACGAGCGGAGCGCCGGGTGGCTAAAGTACAGCAAGTTGGCACAGTAGGGGGCACAGGTGGTGCATCAGCCAGTCATCTCGGTCATCTCGGTCAGTCGACCCGTGGCACCTGGGTCTGCCCCGTGACCTGCCAGCGGGCGTTCGACACTTCACGTGGCCTCAAGGTGCACATGGCCTGGCACAAGCGTCGTCGTGGTGACGTCACCGCCACTTAGTGACAACACACACACGCACACACGTGACTGCATGTCGATAATTTTATTGAAGACCTCACGGTCAACAGTACACACTCGAAAGTTATCTGCCTTTCCTGGCAGTTTATGAATGCAAAATTAAATAAAACAAATTCCCCTGCGCCACCAAACACCCTCCGAGCCAGCGTCCCACCCTTCGACGTGACGTGCCGCGTGTGTGCGTGGTATGCAATTGACATGAACATGCGTAGATAGCGCTGGGAAGCTGGGGAAGCTGGGCTGTGGAAAGTTGAGAGTCGGACAAGGTGCGAAGCAGGCACTGCAGGGCCGCGATGTGAAGTTGCTGGGCAGAATGTCGCCGTGGAAGGAGACGGACCAACTACAACTCCACTGGGAGCCACACCCCGGCTCAGGTCTTCCAGAATGCCCGCGTCTACCCCGAGAGTGCAATTCGTGTCTACACGTTCGTGTATTTCAAAACACTGCATTTTACATGCTCTTTGAAGTCAATGAGAGTAGACTTTTAAGGTGGAAGTTGCTTGCGATTTATAAACGCGCTGTCGAATTGTTAAAGAGTCGTTGGAGGCCCGATGTCTGCCCAATACTTAGAACTGTGTACTGCCACGGTTAGGTATGATATATAAACATTTAAGCCTTTGAAGGTATTGAAAGATTCGGCATTGGTTGAGTATAGTGCCAGAGTTATAAGAACACTCTCATTACACACAAAGTGCTTGCCAGAAATGAACCACGAGACCTCGCTGATCTCGTCAAGAAGACTAAATCATCACGCAAACTCCGGTCATCCTTGCAGTGGCTTTTGGATAACCATCGAACAAAGACGGTCACTGAACCGCACGCTTTCAGATGCGCTTCTGCGGCCGTCTGGAACGCTCTTACTTCCGATATTAAGCCACTGGAGCTATGCACTTTTAAATCCACATTGAAAACGAATTTCTTTAGAACCGCTTTTTCTGTTTCGTTTATTGTCCTCTCCCCCCCCCACACCTCCAATCAGCAGTTGGCTACACACGGTGCAAACAAGTGCAACATACATAGAGTTGTAACAAGTACACAGTCTATGGTTTCCACGTATAGACACACACACACACACGAGTGCCTGTAGAAGATGAGTGGACACAGAGGGTAAGTTACCAAAGCATCAATCAAGCTGATCGACCTGTGCCGTTCGGCAGCCTGCAACACCACGCAATGCATCAACAGCGGTCAAGTCACGAGTCACCGTCCTTGAACAACAACATTCGGAGATGCTCACGTCCCGACAGGCAACATACAGAGGTCCTGTGTTGCGGGAAACAAAGATGGCTTAAAGCATCTCTTATTCTGGCCTTCTCATTTTTCCACTGGTGGTGACGATGCTTTCTCTCCCAACTCAACTTAAAATCACTTCTCCAGTCAATAGGGGGCGCAAGACGATGGCTGTTGTGTATTTTTGAGTGGATCCACAGCAGATCACTGGGATCCCACGAGGTTTTTGGCCAGCACTGGTACAGAGTTCATATCGTGCGAGGAGGTTTGAATGATGTTGCCACATCAGACACAAAACGTTGAAGGCGCCAGGACATTAGGAACAACGCAGTCGCAGTATTGTGGCAATATAGAACAATTACATTTTCTGGCATGCCACATGGTGTGGTCTGTTTTTTTTTCAAACTCGACTTTTGTGTTTAAAACCCACAGCCTTAATTTGCAAGCAGATATAAAGCACAGCGATCATTTTTTTACGTTTACCAATCAAGACCAATTTAGGTTCCAACATTTTGATGGAAATCGGCTTTCCATTCACCGTTGGTCCGATCCTGGTTCTGTTGTGGCTCGGTGTTTCCAAGCACAAAGCTTCTCACAGCAAAAAAAAAACAGTTCTCGAATACTCGGATGCCTTAGGGAAGGAGGAAAAAAGTGACTTGTAGCTTTAAAACCGAACACCGTCGACAGCTCAAATCGTCAAACGCTCCCACATCTCATATACAACACAAACCTCCTGGGGGGTGGTGATATTGAAATTTTAAAACAATAAGATAATTTAGATTAGTAAATTAAGGCTGGCAGAATCGGTGGTAGAGGGAAGTTTATATTTAGTTTTATGAATTAAAATTTCACCATGCCCAAGAACTCGCAAGAAGAGGCAATATTAAGAGCCACACATGCAAAGCTTCGCTTGGGAAGCAGGGGATCAAGGCACTTGCCCATTGGTGTTACCTCGCTAAATACAGGCGGTGTCCAGGTTACGACGATCCACATTCATGACGTTTATATAACGCCACCATAAACTACATTTGCGACGCATCTTCCGACACGACTCCGAACGTATTTGAACAGAGTCAGTCTGATTTCCGGCTAGTAAAACGAAAAAAAACCATCGGCAAGTTGTGTTCCTACCGTTTCGATCGTTTACGGGGAACAATGGGTCAAGTTCACAATGACGACGTTTCCAGGACCGAGTTGTGACGTCGTAAAAGCAGGGACCGCCTGTATCCTAGAAACTCTCCTCTCCCATTGAGAACCTCCACATTTGCTCGAACGTGAACGTGCAACCTGCAAAATATTTCGGGAAGACTTCCGATCTGGCAACGCAGCGAGTGGCTGTGACCATTTCGTCCACAAGCGTGGACTGGTCTGTGTGTGTGGAGGGGGGAGGCAAAGCTGAGGGATGTGGTAATGGTGCATCACGGGAGGTGGTGATGGTGCATCACGGGAGGTGGCGATGGTGCATCACGGGAGGTAATGATGGTGCATCATGGGAGGTGGCGATGGTGCATCACGGGAGGTGGTGATGGTGCATCACGGGAGGTGGTGATGGTGCATCACGGGAGGTGGCGATGGTGCATCACGGGAGGTGGTGATGGTGCATCATGGGAGGTGGTAATGGTGCATCACGGGAGGTGGCGATGGTGCATCACGGGAGGTGGTGATGGTGCATCACGGGAGGTGGTGATGGTGCATCACGGGAGGTGGTGATGGTGCATCATGGGAGGTGGCGATGGTGCATCACGGGAGGTGGTAATGGTGCATCACGGGAGGTGGCGATGGCGCATCACGGGAGGTGGTGATGGTGCATCACGGGAGGTGGTGATGGTGCATCACGGGCGCGGGGTGGTAGAAGCCAGCACCACACACCTGGGCTCTGAAACGGCGCCGATATGGCAAGCCAAAATTGTACCAAACACCGGCGTTTCATATCACCAGATGAAAATCTACAAGTAAATGTTAAGGCGTCTTAAATGTTAATTCACAAATGTTTTAAAATATATTGTTCGAGACGTATTCCTTGCAATGGTGTGTAATGAATTGGTTTTGGGGTTTTTGTTTTTTCTTTCAGATATTATTTTTACAGATTCATGTCCATTATGATACGAGGAGCTGCGGCTTGGCCATTAACAGGACAATAAGAAATCTGCAGATGCAACAATTACAATGTTATCATTTTATCAAAACGCCAATCATATTTGGATCAAACGACACAATTTCCTCCATTGCATATATTCATTCAAACAACAAAATGTACAATTTGTCCTGTATCCAATCATTCATGGTTGCTTCAAATAAAAAAAAATATAACAAAGCGTTGTTGTTTAACGAACCTCGTGCCAATGCAGATTTCCAGTGGGTGGTAGCGTCATCAGCTGTCGCTGATGGGCATGGGGACATAAGCGAGGTGGGTGTGTAGGCGTCGTCAATGGCGGTGACGACCGCAGCGGTGCTGCTGACATGAGTCGTGCTACTATTGCTGCTGCTGCTGCTGCTGGTGGTGGTAGCCCCCAGTGGTGGAGTGGCAGTCAGGTGCCGATTGGGCACAGGCGTGAAGCCTGCCTGCCAGCAGCGAGCCCTCTCCCGCCGCTGGGCGACCCACGCGGCTCGCCTCTCAGGAGTAGCTGGTGGACTTCCCTACGTCCTCATCCTGGGAGCCCATGCTCTGCGGCGGAGAGAGAAACAAATGTTAGTACGGCCAATCCCCGTTGAACGTGCGGCGTTCGTACAACGCTTTAACGAGGTTATATTTTATGGGATGTTTTCCCGCTTAACGCGCCCCGTTATAACACGAGTCAAATAGCGTGTGACCGCCTACTGGCGACAACGCGTCAGGGTTGGGATGAAACACACGACCTCCTGCATACCAGGCGAGGTGGTTAACATCTCGCCACCGCGGCGCCCCCTGGATAGTCCGCTGGTTAAGGACCAGGGAGATGCACCGATGCATTCACGGCGTTCGGCCGGCCAGCCTGAAGCCAGAGGCGAGGAAAAAACCTGGTGAATTAGGGCATTCTGACCACAAGGAATTCTAGTGAACATATACTTAAGCTATATAAAATATTTCTACATTATAAAATTATATATGTTCACAATAGCAACTGTTTGAAGTATTATGCGATCATAAAAAAAAAGTCTACCCAAATAATAAAAGGCACACTTATTGTTTTGCCAAATACCCCTTTTACCGAGAAAACAATCTGAACCGATGTTAGAGAAGAGTGGTCATTACGAGGGCAATTTTTCACCCTTTGTTGAAAATTGTGCAGACCACACTTGGATGCATTATGACCCATTATGAATAAATATCACAGCCAACAGCCACATATGCCTGCACCTATTACATCCATTATCTGCAAGAGAAATAAAATTAATAAAGATATTGACAAAAAATTGGTGGAACGCAATCTACCCCCGACTGCACACCTCCACCCTGTTGTTCAACAGAGTCCGCATCAGTCAAGGGGTTTACGGTCGTATATATGTATGTTGAACCTCTTTCGCACCACACGTAGCCGACCAGCGATGATGCTACGGAGAGACTGGCCGCTGCCACAGCTACAACTTTCCACGAATGGCTCAGAAGTCCCAAAGCAAATGAGCTCGGCGCACCGCTCGTGGACACGAGGGACAACCAGAGTCCCACTCGCGTAGACAGCAAGGCACAACAATGGGCGGCGCGACGACACCGGCGCAGTGCTTAAGTGTGCGGATTAAATCCTGCAAACCAAGTTAGGATAAGGCTGCTGATGGCAGTTGGGTATGGCAACCAGGTGAGAAGCTCTCGAATGCAGCCCTCAATGTGTACCCAGTGTACACATTGCATCAAGTGCCAGACTTAGGGGGGAGGGCACTTCATAGCTGGGCAGGAATTTGTGTGCGGTTGGTTTGGGAGTGGTGGTAAAGGAGGAAAAGCAATGTTGCACAAAACTTTGTTGTTAAAAGGTAAGTATAATGGAAATTAAAATGATCAAAACGTCTATAGTCATTTTTGTCTGGTTTATTTAATGTCATGTCTGGTTTGTCTGAGTGATGTGAATAATGTCGTGGTGCGTGCATCTCATTTTCACGGTGACTCCGAGAAGTTACGATTGTTGCCAGATTGCCAGAGCTGGCCCGCAGGCCCAGACACTGGCTCGACAATTTACATTTTCCCCAACCAAATGAGCCAAGTGGCACTGCATTCCGACTAAACCATGGCGTAGGCCTGTCTGGTCCCAACCCACCAACATCCCCCCCCCGCCATTCTGTCTGTCCATTGCTCTTTCCCTTGCCATCCACCTTGGCTCAGTGACAGACCTCTGGGCAAGTGCAGCTTCACTGGGCAGCTATATCGGTGAGGTCTGTTTAACACCTAGGCTTTCATGACCAATATTGTCCAGCATGAAGGGGATTTTTTCGGTTAGATTGCATTAGGGATAGGTGAGGTCTCTAAAGGAAGTGTATGATAGGCACAAAACGTCAGTCGCGTTGCTCAAACGACCATTACATTTCACCATACTTCGTTGGTGCAAATGAATGGGAAATTCCAATTCCACATTCCTATGCCAGGAGAATGTTATCCAGAGTACAACCACTTTGATTTCCCACAAGGTAGCATTTATTTTATTGACCGTGTATGGATGTAGACTGGTTTGGTCACCGACTGGGATTTGAACTTCAAACCTTTAGTGTGTGTCCAGTGTTCTGCCAGAGCATCACCACTCAGCCAATTAACCACGAGTGCGCGTTGAGACCACTACATCCGACACTTGAGGATCGAGTTTTATCTCACACGGAGGCTTCTGCGAGAAATGTTGCGATTTGCAATTAACGGTTAGGTGAGATCGCGTGAGGACAGTGCCAATGCGTGTGGAACAATAAATAAAGTTGTCGCGTGAACAAACATGACAATTTATGAACCTATTTAGTTCTGCTTTACTACCCAGGAATGCCTCACCGAGTCTCAATACTCTCTTTCGGAGGGTCCTGCCAAAGTTTTCGCAGTAGGGGGTTGTTGCTGCTGTGAGTAAATTTGCAGGAAATTTTTCAGCACAGGGATGTTTGGGCAATACCAGTTACTACACTGTGTGATGTTTTGTTTTAGCTACGGGAGTAAACCCGAGAGCGTGGAGGAAACCCATGCAGAACAAGCGGAGAGAACGTTCAAAACCCGGCAAGGAAAGCCACCCGAGTCGGGGATCGAACCCCGCCGCTCCTTGCTGCGAGGCACAAGCGTGACCACCGCCGCCCCGCCTCCCCAAGTGTGTGTGTCGCAATTAGTTTTGAGTCGACGTCGCTCATTCGCGTTCTGGCAATGTCTTCGCGGCACAATTTACATTAAAATTATTTGTGACATACATTTTCAGCTGACTTTGGAAAACAAAAAATACCCCTTTGCGGGGAGACACTTTGCCTCATTGTGTGCAGTGTCCCTCTCTCTTCCGTGTTAAAGCACTCATGCCAACGCTAACAAGGGAGGGGAGCCGAAACAATACACACACCGTGTGTTGGCACACGCATGTCATTTTAGAAAACTATTCCTGAAAAACATTTCTTGGAAAGGCCAGGTCAGCGCTTTAGACAGGGGCGCCACAGTGGCTAGGAGATGTTGTCTCGCTCGCCTGGTATGCAGGAGGTCTGTGGGTTCGATCCCGACCCTGACGCCTGCTGCTGTATATTTGGAGTTTGCGTGTTCTCCCTGTGGTCGCGTGGATTCTTCTCCAGGTACTCCGGTTTTTCCCTCCACATTTAGAATCAACGTGCGTTTAGAGTATTTGGCCGATAATGAATTTCCACGTGATGATAAGCCACTTCGTTGAGCTATAATTTGTTTCCAGGTTGCTTCTGAAAAGAGAGCTAATAGCTCAGTGGGCTTTACCTGGTAAATAAAAATCTTTCATTAGTTTAGTTATTCGTTGCTCCCAGTATGTATGTAAAACATCTTTTGCACCGTACGTAGCCATCCGTGCTAATCGGAGGTGCGGGGGAAGGACAACAATAGCAGCTTCCCCAGAGCCTGTCCAGGTTTGAAGGCGGCGCTCTCTGTCTCCGCTTGCAAGCACGTGTGTTTTATCACCTAGCCCCACGTGTATGCAGCTGTCATATTTGTACCTCAACTTTACCTCTTTAATCCGTGAACTTGAAATGTAATTACGTTATAGGGCCTGGGTGGCTGCGTGATCTCCCCGGTAAAACGAAAAATACCTTTCCGCCGTATTAGCATGCTTGGCTACGTGCGGTGGGAAATGAATTCAACATGCATAAGTCCTTAATAGTTAACGTCCACCCACCTTCTGCACGAACTGGGGGTTGATGGTGATCTCCTGGTCCATCGCCCTCAGCTTCTCGTCCAGCTCGATCACCTTCTGCATCTGTAGGGTCCACAGAATGCGCACAACTTAGCCCAAGAACAAGGGACTGTGCGCACGTACGCGCACAAAGCGGTGAGAGAGCACAAACCAAAGCAGACCCTCCCACCGTGTGAGCCTCCTCCACCATGCCTTCAAACTAAACTGGGAGTATTACGTCTTGACGCCGTGAGGTCGAAACGCGGAGGGGCACCCTAAAGCACGAGGCCCGGGGCAATAGACTGCGTTCCTGAAAAGTGCAGCGTTAAGCGAAAACAATTTCCCCGTAAATAAAGTAACGATAAAGTTTGGGTGGAATGACACAGTAATGCGGCGACGTAGCCTCAGTGATTTGTCCGCCATCTCGCTGCGCACGCGTACATTACATCGTATCTCGGCAAATTTTATCGCTACATTATTTACGGTGAAAATGTTTTCGCATCACGCGTTTTTTTGTTTAACGCGGCAATTTCCAGGAACACATCGACAGCGTTAAGCGAGGGCTTGTGGGTGGCAAGATGTTAACTTGGGACACAGTTGAGAGATGTTAACCACCTTGCCTGGTGAACAGGAGGTTGTGGGTTCAATCCCGACCCTGACGCTTGTATATTTGGAGTTTGCATGTTCTCCCCGTGGTCGCGTAGATTTTTATCCTGGTCCTCCGGTTTTTCCCTCCACATTTCAATTCAACATGCACTTGGAATATTTGGCTGCTCTAAATTTGCACATGAAAGTCACTTCGTTGAGCTATAATCTAAAAGAGAGCTTATAGCTTCGTGGGCCTAACCTGGTAAAGTAAAAAAAATAGTTTAAACAGACTTACTGTGAACATATCTTGTATTTGTGCTCAACTCATATAATTTTGCGAAGCAGCAGCTAATGATAGATCAGAACCGAGAGCTCTAATTTCGGTACCCCGTCATACCTCTTGATCGATGTAGAGCAGCATGGCAGGGTTGTTGTATTTCTCTGGATTGTCGTGAAAACACACCATCCCGTCCTTTTGATTAATGCTGGCAAAGATTTCCCCATCCTCGATCTGCGGAACAAAATCGCCACACGAGCAAGTCATAGCAAGCGAGGTAAACTGCTGCATAATAATAATAATAATCCAGCCGAGGCGACATTCAGAAGGTGTCTTCTTGCCAGATACATCAAAGCCAAAGAGGGGCTTTGGGCAGCTCGCCACATCAATGATGCAGCGCGTCTGAAATTCTGCATTCAAGTCTGGGTTTATCCACACACACAAACAAAGACAAAGATCAACCATATAGCCTTAACAGACTGCTGAGGAAAGTGCTGTTTGCGAGCACCCATTATGGTCGACTAAGCACACAAGGGGGTGGGAGTTGGCCAGCACCATAACCAGCCACCTTTGTCTTTCTAATGCTGATATTTACACTTTGCACCAGGTACTCAGTTAATGCCGAGTCCACTTAGGGGAGGCCCAGGACCGATTCAGATATTTATCCTATGTTAGCTGTGAGTAGGAATTAAACTCGGGTCACTCGGTTCATAGTGCAGTGCACTAACCAGTCCACTACCACTCCCCATCACATATAAACAACAACCACACATACATACACAAGACTTAAACACGTATACATCAGACATCACATATAGCCATGTAGACTACAGGGGCAAGTGCTGCGAGTGAATTAGTGAGTACTGGTGAAGGCGGGAGCGGTGCAAGCGCGTACCAATCTTTGCACACCACAGAAATGACTCGTGTATGACCAAGCAGACCTAGGGGAAGACCGAGCCAAGTGATACGAGAGAGAGCTGCGAAAAAAAATGTCAGCATGGAAGTGAAGAGAACTGCTATTAATAGCGAAACCAACATCCTGTGCTGATCCTCATAAAAGACGCACAATTCCTAGAGGATGCGTGACAGGTTTGTTAAAGCATGTTCCTCCTGCAGCAGTGATTCACCGCGTTAAGTGCAGTCACCAATAAGGTTTTCCTACACATATTGACGACTGCAAATACTGCGCGTCTTAAGTCGATACCGCCCACACCACTAAATGCATTGGTGAAGTGAGGCAAAAATAATTAAACGTCTCTCTCTCCGTTGTTCAAGCTGGCAGAAATGTATGATGCCGCTATAATGTTCACCGAGAAAAATGCCATTATGTTGCTGCATTGCGATCGGATTTGTAGAAACTCTCGCAATCACGAAATGATCAATCAGCATGCACTTTATTTAGCCAAATGGTGAATTCACTTCGTTAGTGCCAAGCGACACGAGTAACGGAGGTTACGTAAGAGTGGCCCAACACAGTGCACAACAGGCGTCTCTTGCAAATAGCGTAGGGTCATTTGTAGGCACGTACTTAGCCACTGATTCATCAATGAAAATCAATAGTTTCACTTACAAGGCACCCATTGAATCGTTCGTGTAGGAATATATTATTTTTAATTGGTACGAATTGTATGCAAATGATTGCAGCCACTAGAGGTGCTACATTCACCACGACATTAAGACACATTATTGACTCCTGAATGCAACTGCAATCCCTGACGTGTGATAATTCAAAAGGGCAATCTGCTAAGTCGCGAGTCCACACTGCTACCATCTGAGGTATGTCGATGGAGATCTGCGGTTACACGCGACAGTTTAGCGGCAAACGGATAAGGCTCCAGATTGGCAGCTCTGTCTGCGGGATTCAGTGTTGCAAGTCCGCGCAGCAGGAGCAGCAAGCAGCACAATGCTGAAAACCGGTGTCCCTTCTTGAGAGTTGGCAGAGCTATTTTCATTTGCAAGGCTATTTGTCCGTAGATCTGTTCTCTATATTTCTGACCTGTTGTCATTACCGTTAAGACAATGATAAAAATCGGCGAGGCGCTTCTAATTGTCTATTAATAGTCCCCAGATCTCACACGAAATTTGGATCGAAAATATTTCATGAAGCAACTGCCCAAAGTGTTTGGAACCCCACCCAGTTTCGTCTCTTGGCATCTCCATTCAGCAATCTCTGTCCTTGTTTAAACCGACTCAATTAAAATCACTAAAGTGTGAATGTAATTTGACAACAGTAATTGAGAATTAACTTTTTTTATCTGTAATTGTGGAAAGCTTTGATGTTGTCTGCTGGCCGAGTCGCCCTTGAAAAAGGGCTTCTTGGCTCTACGAGCTTTACTCGCTGGGAAATATACTGCTGGTTCTAATCATTTACCTGTGCTCGTGGGTTCAATCCCGACCCTGACACCTGCTGTGTAATTTGGAGTTTGCGTGTCTCTCTCCCTGTGGTTGAGTGAATTTTTTTCCGGGTCCTCCGATTTTTCTCTCCACATTTCGAATCAACGACACACGTTTAGAGGATTTGGCTGCTGTAAATTTCCACACAATAAGCCACTTCGTTTAACTATTATTTGTGGCCAAGTCGCTTATGAAAAAGAGCTACACAGCTCAGTGGGTCTTACCTGGTCAAATATATATATTTTTACTCGCTTTTATTTAACTCATTCTGTCTGTTGTATCCTCAACTCTGTCTGTTGTCGTATCCTCAAATCTTGTAACTAAATTTTAACCCACTTCCCAATGTCGTATCGACTGCAAACTTGGTATACGCATCTTATACTGATGACAATACTATATTCTATCATTGAAAATAAAAAATATATATTTTTAAGCAATCTTTTTTTATATCTTATGTTTCGGCTTGGGTCTAATTGTCCACACTCATCTTATGTTGGCTGTAAATCACCACGGCCCCTTACATTATGGCAAACTTCGGGGCCATTTCCTGGAGTTGTGGAGTTCTGCCATTACTCGTACGGTACATTTCATGAAAGCGTGTTTTTAGAAATGTACTTTTAAATATTACTTATTTACATGTCAATTCCTGCAGGATACGCAACAGCATTACTGAGTTGAACCACTGGTCGCACTCACCATGTGCAGGACGTACTTCTCTGCTTCCCGGGGGCCAGACAACTGCACCCTATTGGCCATGTCTTGCAGAGAGAGAGTTAGAAAGGTCTGCAGGAAACACACAAAACATGGAAACACATTTACACTTTAAGATTAACTCAATCTAGTCATCGATTGTGTTGCATATTGAACATAAGAAATATCAATCCTGAATCAATAAATCAATCGATCTTTATTTTACCTGCCAATATAGGCCCTCAATAAAGTGGGCATCATTGTACATTACAACAGAACGGGAATGGTACAGGAGGTCGACAGCAACGGGAATGAACAGAGAAACCCGTCACGACCTCAGCGACTAACACTGACCGAGCAAAGTAAATTGCAACAGCGAGCAAGATAGAATGCAACCGAGCGCAGCGAGCTGCATAATGAGTCGTCCGACCTGCGAACCCACGTTTCCTAAATCACACATGATCATGCGTGGCTGTACAGCTTACGTGACATGGGCCAAGATTTACATCTTCACAAAACAGCCAATGCAGGTGGTACCCCGATGAGCAAAAAATAAAATTGACTTGGCTTGATTGACACTGTTGCTGCAAAAATAATATCGTTCAGAATTAAAGAAGATCATTGAAGCTGGCAGCTACACACCTCAGCAGGTATGTAACATTGACGATACCGGCTTGTTTTGGAAGCGTATGCCTGCAAGAACTCTAAGTTCCAAGGAAGAAAAGTCTGCACCAGGCTGTAAAGTAGCCAAATATTATCTGACAATTCTTCTGGGTGGCAATGTCACGTATGTATGATGAATTTCATTTGTGCCATACGTAGCCAACCGTGCTAATTGGAGGTGCGACGATGCTATAGGAGCAGACATTGGCCGCTGTCGGCTCGGCCCGGCGGACAGCATGGGTCACGCACGCACGCACCTTGGTGAGCCGCTGGATGTTCTTCTTGTAGAGGGAGCACACGCACTGCTTCACCAAGCCCATGTTGCTGTCGTTAGCGAAGGTCTCGCTGTGCTTGGCCACGGTGCCGCGCAGCTCGGACGGGTTGTTGGTGGCGTAGGCCTGCGCCAGCTCGTGGTACGCGCTGCTCAGCGGCTGCGCACGCACAAGTGACGAGCATCCAGCAATTAGCATGACTTCCACGGGTGGGGGCTAGATAGCTGGGTGGGTGGATGTCTGGGTGTCTGGCTGAATGGATGGCTGGGTGGCTCAGGGAGCTGACATTTTGTCACAGCACTGAACTGAGTTTGAATCTGTTTACAGCAACGGGAAAAACACAACAATGTTTGCGCTCAGAACGGCAGAGCGATAGCAATTTCTATCGGACCAATCTAATCGGAAAATAGAGCCAACAGGCCGTCGTGAAACACCTGCACGCATCTGCGTTTCCAATCGCCAAACAAGAATAGCACCGTAGCTATTGGCTGCACAGCATCCGTACGTCACATTATGTCTGCCGAAAGAATGTTTTTGACACCACTGTTTTATTAACGCTCTGCTGATCCCTTGACATGAACAACAACGACGACGATGAGGCTCTTCCACGCTGCGTGGAAACCAAAGGGCGCTGGGGGGCAGTGTGGGCAGCAGGTGGTGCTTACCTTGATGAACCGCCCGACAATCTGCGACGTGTACTTGGGCAACGCCAGCACCTTGCCATGCAGGATGAGTGACACCACGATGTACTTCTTGTATGACTCCAGCATGATGTGACTGACAGCCATCGCCGGGGTAGTAATCGCCTGGTTACAACGCGCAAGGGGATAACGTGGGAATCACGTCAACCACTGACTCCACAGGCAACAACACAGAGCAATCGAGCTGTCTGGGTGAGTGTGGGAAGTTGACACCCATGTTAGCCACAGCAGATTGTAACCGCAAACGTTCGGCCATTGCGCTGGGTCCGGTTACGTTCTTGAAAATAGCCGCAATGGGCAAATCCGCAAACTCAAAGGCAAATCAGAAAACGAGGGTTTGGTTCACCGTTTGTAATACGACACCCACCCCTCCTTTTGTTTTATGTTACCCGACATCAACCCAAACATTAAACAGCAAGTATTTAAATATAACTTATATATAGAATGAATCAAAATAATGCAATGTACAATACTATACATGTATTCGAATGCATACGGCTGAACCTCACTGCGTCCTCACTGGAGGCTACATGGCCTGGGACCCACGATGGGCCGCTTGGGAGACGAGACGGAGACGAGACAAGACGGAGCTACGTGCATTCCACGGCAGCGTCATCATCGTCGCGAGCACAGGAACCTCGCGACTGGCCGCTAACGGTCGGGCCACCACAGGAGGGCACGATCGGGGAACTGTACCTGAATAGATTTGGCGCGAAACCCCAAAACCGCGAGCTAAACCCACGAGAGGGACCATAGATCATCAGGCAAACTTCGGTCATCTTCTCAGCAGCTTGTGGCTGGCCATCGAACAAAGACGGCTCACCGAATCGAGCGCTTTCAGATTCGCTTCTGCAGCTGTCTCGAACGCTCTTCCTTCGAATATTTGGAAGTCATTGGAGCCATGTACTTATAAATGTAAACTGAAAACTAATTTCTTTAGAACTGCTTTTTGCATTTAGTTTGTTGTCCTTCCCCCGCACCTTGATTAACAAGGCTGGATACGTACGGTGCGGAAAAAGTTCAACATACATCCATACCTGCTCGTAGAAGTAAAGTGCTCGATCAAAGTTCTTGAGGCCCGTGTAAATCATTCCGCCATAGTAGTAATAGCAGAGGAAGTGCTTCGCGTCAAAGGCTCCATTTTCCTTGCAAATGTCCATCATGTCTGTGTCCAAGTATGGCAGCGCTGGCTTGAAGCACTTGGCCAACAGGCACAGCTGCGAGGAGAAATCACCACAGAGTATACACGGCCAATGCGAACTCAATTTATGATACAAGACGCATTTCATTCAGTGGGATCAAGTGGGAAAATTAATCTCGCCCGCAGGGATGTCAAACCCACAGAGGGAAGAATGTATTCTAAACTTACAAACGTATTTATAAACTTGGTGGGTGAGTGGGAAGCATACTTGTCAGTGCTCTTGTCACTGGGTAGGTTTGGACGGTTATTGATGGTTTAATTTTGGCCTGTAACGTACCTTCTGCCGAGAAGAGCATGGTTAAAACTCTGCTTGGGTTGTTTGTGCTGTATTGCATTGCGTCAGGTTATTGCCACCTTGGTATCTTAGGGTGCTGGATACGACCGCGACGTCGTGCCCGTGCAAATGTGGTTGGTCTGTTGAGCCGCCTCACCTGGCACAGGTCAGCGTGGATGGACGTCAGCTGCGTTGCGCTCATCTGCATTTTGTCTATGGCCTGCCTGAGGATACTGATGCCACGGAGTGCCTGAGTCACGCACATAAGAGGTGACAGTCAAAATGCATGACTTTTTATTTTTAACAATTAAATGGAATAAAAACAAGCCACATGCTTTCAAGCTCAGACAGAAAATAAACATTGAGAAGTGCTAACCTTCACCGACGTGTGAAAATTGCACTCTCCCATCTCATCAACCCTTGTGAGAGTTTGGGCTCAACTGAAGAGGTTTAAATTAAACCTTGAGACTGCAAGTCAAGTGCTCTTACCATGTCACAAGCTGGCCAAACACACAGCAAGAGCGATTACGTCTCTAAAAGGGAGACAAGCACTCAGACATCCAAATCATGGGGCTCTATTTGTGTTGAAGGAGGAAGAGCAGTTTACGATGTTTGTTGAAAGTCTCTTTCTGTCAAATAGGCTTTGTCTGGCCACGTAGGTGAAAACCTACGTGACTTTACGAAAACTTCAAATCTAGAATTTGTCTGGCCATTTTGATATATTTTTTTCCCCCACCAACAATTTGGAATACAGAGAAATGTCAGACACATGAATAAGGAGCAACGGTAAAAAGGTCACTACGGCGTCCACGTGAGAGTTTTCTCCTGTCTATCGCGTTGGCAAACTATTCACACTAAAATTAACATGTCTCACGTCTGCAAGTCAATGTTTGGCACTGCAATCTGCTCGGTGGAGGCCCAACCTCTCGTGCGTGAATGTGTAATTAGCATGCATATTACATCAAACCAACTTCCTAGAAATAGCCGTTCGTCTGTTTAAACACACGGCTCATTGCATGCTCTCACCTGCTTTCGTTCTACCAGTGCGTTTGTGAGCATGTGACAGAGGCCAGCAACTGCAGAAAGAGAAAAAAAACAAGCCGCACGCACGTGAAATCCGGTGATCAACGTACTGATTCACTTCTAAATTGAAAACGAATTACTTGAGAAACTGCTTTTTGTGTTTAGATTGTTGTTTATTGCAGCGACTTATATAAAGCATGTGTGGAATACATCCCGAATCCAAAAGGGGATGCTCAAATGGCATCGTTCATCGAGAAAAGGAACACAGATCCAACGTCTGAAGAAGGATCTGGGATCAATTACACGGCAATAAGGGGGGGGGGAAAAACTCTCATTCCTGGCAAAAGCCATGTATATACATAGCAAACACGATAATCATCACAATATACATAGCAGCGCTACAACAACAGTTATGAAATACAAATATGAACTATATAATTTATATACTATGTTGTCTCTGCGGGCAGAGTTTATTTCTCCAATTGACAGTGATACACAACTGCTGGAAGGATGTTTTGTCATTCGTGAAACACTCACAGCTGTCTGTCGCGAAGCGAATATGCTCCCCATTGCAGGCACCGATAAAGAGCTGGACTTGAGAGAAGAGCGTCTCAAAGTCCGGTACGTTGGGCATAGAGATCTTGACATACCTGAGGAAGGAATATTCTAATTAGCAAATCACAACATGAAATATTCTTCGGTGCACCGGCATACACATTTGTAAAAACTACAATATTCATAGCAGAATACGGTCTTTAGTGTTATAATAATAATTCAAATTTATAATACATATTCCATCCTAGGATCCCAATGCACAAATCCCTGATCAGAAAATTACCCGCTTTAACAATGATGCACAAATAAAGCTAAACACTTTATCAACAGGTTAAGTTGTAAAATGTGAATAGTCTTTCACCTGGATAAATAAAGGACAATAAATTAAGCATGTTTTTTTTTATTAAAATAAAGTCCTGTATTTGTATTCTGTTTTGCATGACAACGTTAATTCATCACTTAAAAACCAAACTCGTTTAGGCTGTCCCTGCCAGAACATGAATGCATCTCTGACCTGTTCAACGAGAGAACCTTTTTAGCCAAGCATATCCTCAATTACATTCACTAAATAACTACGATGATAATAGGGCCACCTTGCAAGAGATTACACTATCTAACACAATTTTTGTTCCTGGGTAGTAAGTGTTATTACGTAATTGCTTATGCCTAAAAAGTATAGAAAATGGCTATTATTACTCCAAGTTTACTCGGCACTGAATCTATCTGGAATATTCTGTAAATTAGGTATAATACAAAATATTACTGTCCTGGTCACAAAAGCAAAATTTGTGGGGAGTAATAGCAGCCATTCTCTGTACTTTTGAGGCATAAGCAATTCGAAAATAACACTTCCTAGCCAGGAACAAAAAAAATTTGTTACACAGTGTTATTAATCTTGACAATTTCTCACATGTTTAAACGTGAATAATTTTACCCCAATATATAATGCTACTTCCTGAAAACCTGGATATGCAATTCTGCTTGCTCGCACATTTGCCCCAAATTTCAAGAGCCAATGTACTCTTACATATATTGATTTGTTCTCCAACTCATGTTTCCCATTTATTTCCACTGCGTTATTTAAAGCGTGCGTCTGTCCAGAACTGGTGAAAATTCAGATTTCTCTTCGGCAACCATAATTTCTTGTCCATGCTAAACCAGTGGACATGAAAATACCAGCAAGTGTCAAAGGAATACATTACTTCAACAATGATGCTAGAAAGCACTGGAAAATTTGGGTCAAAATTGTACAAAATAAAGGAGCAGTCCTGCCATTTCTTACTCACATCACTGCTGGTGGAAAGCCTCATTCAAGCTGGCCAAATGTCTTGGATATACGGCAGACGTCATTGATTAAAATAGTTTTTTGTCATGTTAACAATACTTGTATACAATTATGCATGCAATAATTGATTACTGACGCATTATACAAACTGTTAAGATTTAAATAATGACCTCGAATGGAGACAATGAATTTGGTCATTGTTACGCACCGAGCATCTAAAACCGATAACCACACCGTGCATAATGGCTAGAGTATAAATTGTGGCATATCTGATACGCTTGGGACTCGGTTATAGGTAAGAATTTACATTGAATTCATTTTCACATTGTAAAATAGTTCTGATTAGTTTTCAGTGTAAAGGCTCTTCTGTTCTGAAAGCCATGTTAGGCAATGTTCGCCCTTGCATATCAGTGGCACTTGGCCTGCCTCCGGCTGTCAATTTCTTGGTTGCAGTTACGATGTGGATACAGACGTCGTACCGTAATGATTATCGACGTTTTGAGTCACCCGCCACTAAAACAATCGCACACTAACATAAAAACGATTCACATTAAACTACTTTTTATTTTACCATGCAAGGTCCACCGAGCTAAATAGCTCTTGTTCAGAAGCGACCTGGCCACAAATGATAGCTCTACGAAGTGGCTTATCACGTGGAATTTTATAACAGACAAATAATATAAATACATGTCGATTCGCAATGTGCGTAAATATGTCGTTAAACCCACCATCAACCGACACAGCAATGAGTAAGGTATGTCACGTAAACAAAACATGCCAATTCGCTACGAGTTCAGCACACCCATGTGTTCGAGAGATAGTTGTAGCATCATCAGGCTGTCCGCCAGGCTGTCAGTCTGGTGATGCTGGTTATAATTACTGGCGAAACGTCGTTCTCGAATTGTAAATCTTGTGCGTATTTACTCTCCAACACACCGGTGTGCTGTACTAGTAACACATTGGCATGTTTTGTTTAAGTGACAAACCTTACTAATTGGCTGTGTCGGGTGGTGGCGGGTTTAGCGACACATTCATATTTACGCAATCCAACCCAAAAACGTATATTATGGATAATATTGCTCGCGAAAGCCTACGTGTTAATTCAAACAAACAGCAGGCGTCAGGGTCGGGATCTAACCCACGACCTCCTGCATACCCAGCGAGGGAGTGAACATCTCCTAGCCACCGTGACACGCCGCGCACCAACGGTGGTGTCCGCCGAGGGCGACTCACAGCACGGCGAGAACGCCGAGGGAGTGAACATCTCCTAGCCACCGTGACACGCCGCGCACCAGCGCCGAGGGCGACTCACAGCACGGCGAGAACGCCGAGGGAGTGAACATCTCCTAGCCACCGTGACACGCCGCGCACCAGCGCCGAGGGCGACTCACAGCACGGCGAGAACGCCGAGGGAGTGCTCTTGAACGTCGAGCGCGCCCAGCACGGTGTCCAGGTGCGTCACATTCTTGGCCAGCAGCTCCACGCTCTTGTTGATGAGGTCGCAGAGCTGCGTCATCTGGCCTGCATAAGGCAATGGGAAAAGAAGAAAAAACATTCAATCACCCAACCAGACGGTGCGACTCTTGGGTTTGCCAACTACGTGTGTGTATGCCCTCTGTCATGATTGCATATCGGGTTCAATTAAAACAATATATTTTTAAAAATTCAATCACCAATATCTGTCCACGGAATAGCTGTATTAAATGGGCGATGTCATCTCGATTGAAACAGATCTCTCATAATGTAGGTACCGTACATTTAGAATCGATGTTAGGCCAGACCAAAATCAGAAGCCAGACCTATACATTCATTTGTGAACAATCAGAATCTTGATTTATACTGGAGGGATCCGATGAGCTATGAAGCTTTTTTTAATACAAATGTCCAGTCGCGTTTAACCAGACAGGATTGTGAGTAGCAGCTTACAGATCCTTCAAAGATCTGGAAGCAGTCCCCATCAGCGAGCGACCTCGTTCGGCAGGCAAGGCTGCGCTGGCTGGGTCGTGGATCCCATGCCCAGCCACCTCATGCCTAACAAGCAGCTTCTGCTTGGCCGGACAGATGGGGATAACCTGGTACAGGAGGACGTGCAGCTAATTGGACTTGTCGATGACTGCTACCAGCGGTGTCAAGGTCAGCTCCTGTGGAGGGGGCTCGTGAAGAACGCCGCTGGGGAGGAGGAGGCAGTCGCCCTCCAGCAACAGCGGGGGAAGTGGAACGCTCACAATACCGAGCGGAGCGCCGGGCAGGTAAAACACAACTTGACGCAGTTGGGAACACACTTTCTGCATCCGTCAGTCATTCCAGTCAACCCATAGCAGCCTGGGACTGTCCCGTGCACTTCTCCTGTCAACAGCCAGAGCCTTCGGCACCTCGCGTCCACGTCTCAAAGTGCACCTAGCCTGGCACAAGCGCCGTGGCGTCATTGCTGGTCTGCAACACGTCGTGGGCCTCCCTCGTGCGCCGCCGTGTCGGCCTTCACGGACACGGCGCGCTCACAGGCACTTGCCCCGGCACTCTGTTGAGGCTGTACCGGGTGGGGGGGGTCGTTGTTTTGCTTCAAGCCGCCAGCTGCGGGCCCCCCCCCCCCCACCGTGTGAAGGATGCTCCAGGAGGGGCCTCGCTACCCTCCTCCCCTCCGCCCCCCCGTCACCCCCTTCACCCCCCCTTCACCCCCCCCTTCACCCCCCCCTTCACCCCCCCCGTCACCCCCCCCGTCACCCCCCCCGTCACCCCCCCCGTCACCCCCCCCGTCACCCCCCCCGTCACCCCCCCCGTCACCCCCCCCGTCACCCCCCCCGTCACCCCCCCCGTCACCCCCCCCGTCCCCCCCCCGTCACCCCCCCCGTCACCCCCCCCGTCACCCCCCCCGTCACCCCTCCGTCCCCCCCGTTACCCCCCCGTCCCCCCCCGTCCCCCCCCCCGTCCCCCCCCCGTTACCCCCCCGTCCCCCCCCCCGTCCCCCCCCCCGTCACCCCCCCCGTCCCCCCCGTCCCCCCCCCGTCCCCCCCCCGTTACCCCTCCGTCCCCCCCGTCCCCCCCCCCGTCCCCCCCCCGTCACCCCTCCGTCCCCCCCGTCCCCCCCGTCCCCCCCGTCACCCCCCCCCCCCGCCCCCCCCCGTTACCCCTCCGTCTCCCCCGTCCCCCCCCCCCGTCCCCCCCCCCCCGTCCCCCACGCCCCCCGTCACGCCCCCCGTCACCCCCCCCTCGCCCCCCCTCGCCCCGCTCGCCCCCCTCGCCCCGCTCGCCCCCCTCGCCCCCCTCGCCCCGCTCACCCCCCTCGCCCCGCTCACCCCCCTCGCCCCGCTCACCCCCCTCGCCCCCCTCGCCCCGCTCACCCCCCTCACCCCGCTCACCCCCCTCGCCCCCCTCGCCCCGCTCACCCTGCGACGAGAGCTGCCGAACGTTGTTCACGAACTGCTCCAGGCCGGACGCCATGATCACCACTGGGTCTCCCAGCCGATGAGCAACGCCGCTTGCCATTGGTTGACGCCGCGCCCAATGGCACCGCGCGATGGAGCTCAACCGCGCGTCACTTCCGTTTAACGAGTGGGGGTGACGTCATATTCGGAAGCGATGGCGACCATGTTGGGTGAGGAGGGGGCGTGGCCGGAAGTTGTTTGCAGGAGGAATCCGATGAGCTGTGAAGCTCTTTGTGGCAGATGTCCAGTGGAAGTGGACACGTGGTCAGAAAGTTACAACAAATATTTGGTTCTTTCGGTAAAGTCACGTAGATAGAAAAAAAAATAAAGTGAATACAAATGTAAATAAAAACCACGACGTTTCGATCACAACACAAGCGATCGTCTTCTTGATTCTTTTGGTAAAGTCACGTAGAATGGAAAATAATAAAAATAAAACATAATAAAATAATTCTCACGACGTTTCGGCCACAACGCAAGCAACCGTCCTCAGGTGAAGAACAGGTCTGTCGAGGAGACAGAGTCTAAATCGAAACACAAGCGATTGTCTTCAGGAGGAAAGAGGGGGAGGTCCCCGAAGGCCACCGCTTTTAAAGGTTAAAAAAGTGGTCGTGGCACAAGCGCTAGGGCGGTGGAAGCATGGAACACGCAGAGCCAACAAAACGTCCTGGTGTCAGAACGAAGTGGGCAGGGCATATGTGCCCTGGGGTAAGGTAACAAGAAAACACAAATATTCTTGGTTCTTTCGGTAAAGTCACGTAGAAGGTAAATAATACAATAATAAAAATATAAAACAATGAAAATTCTCACGACGTTTCGACTGCCACACCACAAGCAGCAATCATCGTCAAAAGAAAACACAAATCGAGTCATGAGTTGACCAGACACAAGATCCAGGTTCGATTTAACACGGTACATACAATTCGTGATCTGATCCCATCTGTGAAGGACAAGATCCCTGACATGCAATATCCCGGCGTCTACAAACTAAGCTGTATCTGCGGCAGCAGTTACGTTCGGGAAACTAAGCGACATGTCTCGGACCATGTTCGTGAGCATAAGGCAGATTTGAAACACGGTAGGACCAATACTTCTGCCGTGGCGTTATTTTAATGCGGCTGGCTCACACGAAATGTATTTCTCTAAAGAGTCGTTCATGAAGCCATCCATATGTAGTGGGTTCAATTGAGTTGCACACTTGAACTTGGAGGCAACACATTTTATTAACTAAGACAACTCTTCACATCAACAGGATAGTTACATAGGGTGGTGACCACCGCTCCTAACTGACTAACACTCGAGGGGATCGATATATAGTCGGACCAGGACAGCTTCACAGGCTGCCTGGTTCACGAGCGGAGACCGGAGACCGAGGATCGAGGGCTTCATTCCCAGAGCTGAACAGCCGAGATCCCTCTCGGGTCTCGGCTTCTAACCGCTCCGGCGTGGCCAAGGGCAACATTTTACATAAGTCCTTGCTGCTAGTTGAGTCATTTGCCACGTGTCGATAATCTGGTGGGGTAACACCCCAGTTCACGTCGAGGATGCGTTCCGAAAAAGGTCCGACGACGAATATCGAAACGACGTCAATGAAAGCGATGTTCCAGGGTAGTAGTGAATGGTGGTGGTGGTGGTAGTAGTGAATGGTGGTGGTGGTGGGGGCGATGTTCCAGGGTAGTAGTGAATGGTGGTGGTGGTGGCGATGTTCCAGGGTAGTAGTGAATGGTGGTGGTGGTGGTGGTAGTAGTGAATGGTGGTGGTGGTGGTGGAGGCGATGTTCCAGGGTAGTAGTGAATGGTGGTGGTGGTAGTAGTGAATGATGGTGGTGGTAGTAGTGAATGGTGGTGGTGGTGGTGGTAGTAGTGAATGGTGGTGGTGGTGGTGGTAGTAGTGAATGGTGGTGGTGGTAGTAGTGAATGGTGGTGGTGGTAGTAGTGAATGGTGGTGGTGGTGGAGGCGATGGTTGAGAGGCGACAACTACGAGAAGGGACAGACGATGATGTCAGCGACGTGAGTGTAGGTTGAGGCGACGTGGGTGTAGGTTGAGGCGACGTGGGTGTAGGTTGAGGCGACGTGGGTGTAGGTTGAGGCGACGTGGGTGTAGGTTGAGGCGACGTGGGTGTAGGTTGAGGCGACGTGGGTGTAGGTTGAGGCGACGTGGGTGTAGGTTGAGGCGACGTGAGTGTAGGTTGAGGCGACGTGGGTGTAGGTTGAGGCGACGTGGGTGTAGGTTGAGGCGACGTGGGTGTAGGTTGAGGCGACGTGGGTGTAGGTTGAGGCGACGTGGGTGTAGGTTGAGGCGACGTGGGTGTAGGTTGAGGCGACGTGGGTGTAGGTTGAGGCGACGTGAGTGTAGGTTGAGGCGACGTGAGTGTAGGTTGAGGCGACGTGGGTGTAGGTTGAGGCGACGTGGGTGTAGGTTGAGGCGACGTGGGTGTAGGTTGAGGCGACGTGAGTGTAGGTTGAGGCGACGTGAGTGTAGGTTGAGGCGACGTGGGTGTAGGTTGAGGCGACGTGGGTGTAGGTTGAGGCGACGTGGGTGTAGGTTGAGGCGACGTGGGTGTAGGTTGAGGCGACGTGGGTGTAGCTTGAGGCGACGTGAGTGTAGGTTGAGGCGACGTGGGTGTAGGTTGAGGCGACGTGGGTGTAGGTTGAGGCGACGTGAGTGTAGGTTGAGGCGACGTGAGTGTAGGTAGAGGCGACGTGGGTGTAGGTTGAGGCGACGTGGGTGTAGGTTGAGGCGACGTGGGTGTAGGTTGAGGCGACGTGGGTGTAGGTTGAGGCGACGTGAGTGTAGGTTGATGCGACGTGGGTGTAGGTTGAGGCGACGTGGGTGTAGGTTGATGCGACGTGAGTGTAGGTTGAGGCGACGTGGGTGTAGGTTGAGGCGACGTGAGTGTAGGTTGAGGCGACGTGAGTGTAGGTTGATGCGACGTGGGTGTAGGTTGAGGCGACGTGGGTGTAGGTTGAGGCGACGTGGGTGTAGGTTGAGGCGACGTGAGTGTAGGTTGATGCGACGTGGGTGTAGGTTGAGGCGACGTGGGTGTAGGTTGATGCGACGTGAGTGTAGGTTGAGGCGACGTGGGTGTAGGTTGAGGCGACGTGAGTGTAGGTTGAGGCGACGTGAGTGTAGGTTGATGCGACGTGGGTGTAGGTTGAGGCGACGTGGGTGTAGGTTGATGCGACGTGGGTGTAGGTTGAGGCGACGTGAGTGTAGGTTGAGGCGACGTGAGTGTAGGTTGAGGCGACGTGGGTGTAGCTTGAGGCGACGTGGGTGTAGGTTGAGGTGACGTGGGTGTAGGTTGAGGCGACGTGAGTGTAGGTTGAAGCGACGTGAGTGTAGGTTGAGGCGACGTGAGTGTAGGTTGAGGCGACGTGAGTGTAGGTTGAGGCGACGTGAGTGTAGGTTGAGGCGACGTGGGTGTAGGTTGAGGCGACGTGGGTGTAGGTTGAGGCGACGTGAGTGTAGGTTGAGGCGACGTGGGTGTAGGTTGAGGCGACGCTAATCATCGGGTAGCGGTGTTGATAATAAAGTGACGACGTATTTGCAAAACGACGTCAAAGGGGGAGACGTAAATTGTTGTATTTCTGTACTGTACTTTGTTACTGGAGTAGAGTTGTCATAGAATAGTTTTGATTCCTGACCACGGCTAACATCAGCGGCGAGTGATATCTGGACATGTCCTGGACCCCTTTCCCACCAAAGAGCACTGAGGAGCCTGGTGAAGTATGGTCAAACAACTCCCATGAATGACACGGCATGAGTTATTTCAGCAGCTGTGACTTAGTGGAGGTGGGCTGCAGAGGTTTTGTGGCAACATCTACAACCAGACTGCTTAGAGACCTGGGAATTAAGGGCCAGAGCCAGCGTTCGGCAATCAAAGCTGTATCGGAGGCGGCAGAAGGCAGCAGTCAGTGGCTCTGGATGAAGAGGAAAGACCCCAGCTGGGCCCCAAAGTGAGAGGGCCAGGAGGTATGCAGTCAACAATGCTTGACTCAGGGAGGAGGACGCCCCTGCCATGCATAGTCCCATGGGATGTTGGCTACCAACAACAAGGCAACTCCTATGACTAATTGGGAATGGGACGCAAGCGTAGGATTGATCACCCTGTCGCTGGCCGCCTTTGGGGAGGGTGTATAGTATGAAAGGCCGAAACACCCTAGGACCCAAAGGTTCACTACTGACGATGCGCTCCCCAAATTTCACCAGGCTCACTGTTCATGAACTCTTGGAAGTGCTTGCACAAAGGATAATAACATCTCATCCTGTGTTCTTTGGAATCAAGTTCATTTATTAGGTATAGCCCTGTGAGCCATTCGGCTCTTGAATCGGGTGCAACCGCAACAAACAAAAAACAAAAACATGAACAAAAAACATCTTGGCAGAGGGTTGAAGACTTCTCTGTTAAATGATAAACTACATTTTTTTTATTTTGGCCTTCAGAGATACTCCAGGACAAGATATGCGATCGTAAACCCCTGGCTTACAGAGTCACCAAGGCGGCCTGTCCGCATTTGTTCAACGAGCCTGCCATCGAGATGTCATCCAGTGGCGTCGTGACGACATTATCAGCTCAGGTGGTGCGGCAATCGGTCAGGTGGGGCCCCACCATTCCATTATCTCGCACGGTGGCACCCAGGGGCTGTTCTATATCGCGGCCTCCTCTTGCCCGAACCACATCGTCGCTCACGATATCGAACATTTAACGCTGCAGGGGCGCTCCGTCTTCGCAAAATGCAGCCACTGCAGCTCCGTCGTAGTGACCTCTTTGCAAGATCAAGTTACTGCCGCAATTAAAATAAAACGTGGAACGTAAATGAAAATGTTTTCATAAAAATAAATGTGAACCGCGTATTACATAAGTGTTGTTGTTCTTTTACACTGTTGTTGAAAACATATCTCGTGGTGGTTGTCAAGAGGGCCCCAACTCGTAGCTTTGGCCACCAGGGGGAGGCAGCCCCCCCCCCTGCCCCCCCCCACGCTCGTTACGCTGCTGACGTCTATCAGTGTATCAGTGTGCAATGTAAAGTGGAGGCCGTCATGTGCACGGTTGACGCACGCGGTCTGGGTCCGTTGTT